TTTTTTTTTTTTTTTTTTTTTTTGCATCTTAATACCCTTCTTTTTCGCAAGCGAAGCTTGGCTTATTGATTGTCTCGCGTAAATGTTATCTGCTGTCAAGAGCCGAGTGTAAAATACACATACGTATACAAATGCGAGCTCAAACACGCATCGACTAGTCCTCGCTATTTGCTTTATCTGTAGATATAAAATTTTCTTTGTACCCGCGCATACTTTATACTCTTGGCGTGTATAATAAGTATATACGCGGTGCAACAAAAAAGTGTATAGCATTGAATTTCGAAAAATTCAGAATCGCCCTGGCTCTGCGATACATATATATATATATATATATTTGTGTCGAAAAACAAGCGATTGTTGTCGAAGCGCAGCAGGAGTCCGTTTGGGTTTTTTTTTTTTTTTTACTCTACTTCTTTTTCCCCCTATAGAGAGTACAGGTCGACGACGGGAAAATGAATATTCGGAACGAAAATAAAATCTTGCTTCGTAAAAAAAACAGCCGCTGCCGGGAGCGAGTCATATATGTGCGCGCGTACACGCTGATGAGTAAAAGTATCAAAAAGTGTGGGTATTTTTACACCTTAATTTCAAGGGACTCCGGCTGACGCTTATTTATAAAGACACAATCGCGCCTTGAACCAGAATAATAATTAATATCGGACACATTGTGGTGTTTTTTTGTTGTTGTTCGGCCTCGCGTTTCAGAGCGGCCTTTCTTGCAAAGAAAAAGAGGATCGAACGAGCGGTTCCTTTGTCTCGTGCGAAAACGTATCGCCAAACGATCGGAAGTTCCGCTCGATGTATTTACACGTATTGGTGATTCTCCTCCGGGAGTACGGGAGGCGAGGTCGACTCCGAGAACACAAAAAGCGCCGTAACGATGTCTCGGAAATATTTAATCACAACGAATAGGGGAAAAAAAAAAAAAAAAAAAAAAAAAAAAAAAAAAAAAAATTGAGTTCATCGCAATGACACTGTGTGCGTATAGCTAGTTGAAACGCGATAGCGTGTAATGTACGGTGGCGATGATGATATATTAACTGGAAGCCGCAGATTATACAACGCGCAAAAACCTTGTACCCGCACTATATTAGGAGTTTATATCGCTCGTGTGTGCTTGTGTGTGTACACCCACGCTCTGATGATTTGCCGGGGGGGTATCGGGGCTCGTAGTGCCATCGTCAGGAGCTATGCTCATCAACGCGTATCATCCGAGCGATAAATGTGGGTGTATGTTATACGCGTATGTGCGTGTTTTTTTTTTTTTTTTTTTTTTTTTTTTTTCATTTCAAATCTCCTACTGCGTTTAAAAACAAAAATAATAATAACAAATGCTGACGTTGAACGTATAGGTAGGTGTATGCTAGTCCGATTAGATGCGAGTTCTGGTTTTTTTTTTCTACAAAACAATCGTCACGGCTGTAGGATTTTTTATTGACACCTCCGTTTAATTGTTGGAGTCACTTGAACACGCGTGTAGTACAATGATCGCGAGGCAGACTTCCTACTTTGGATGTGGGGGGGGAAAAAAAAAAGTAGGTAGGATGACGGAAATCTGATCGAGTCAGCCTTTGTGTTTATGGATGGTCAAACAAAGAAACGCCGCGGCTCGACGTACGTGTATTTTCCTCGATTCCCCCTTTATACGTATTCATAATAAAGATCTTCACTTAACGCACTTTCAGTCCTTGAAAATTGCCGATTCGAGCACGTCATTGAGTTAACATCTTTTTTTTTTTTTTTTTTTTTTTTTTTCCAACAAATTTACAATAAACTGTAGCGCTTCGTCTTTGATTTTCACGAAGAGACGGGACGAGTAGGTTCATTCGCTGAAAGAAAAATCGCGAAAGCGCTCGTGCGTTGTTTGCTCGACTGTGCGTGTACTTACCTATACTGTCAGGGATGTGAAGGAAAAAAAAAAAAAGAAAACAAAGAAAAAGCCGGGGTTGCGTAAAAACACACGTGAAGTACGAATATACACACACGAGACCCTCGATCGCGAAATCTCTCTCGCCGTATATAATGTACACATGGGCGCGATATCACACACACAGTGGCACATCTCATCCGACCTCTTTGCTCCGTCCGTCTATATTATACTCTCCCTCGGTTAAAATATTGTAGCCTCCGCCTCTGCATTACACACCGCGTATATATCTATGGGCACATAAGTGCAAGCCTCTCCACGTCCATACACACGCATCGGCTAAAACATGAGCATATTGTACACTATACGCTATTGAATCGCGTCGTCGGATCGGTCGTGTTTTGGCTCGGCCATCGGCTCGGGGCCGCGGGTGTGTGTATCCATAGGTATACGTGGTGTACGCGCCATAGATATCTCGGAGAGGGAGATAAAAAATGCGCGTCTCTCCATGAAAATTTATGCGGCTGTTTATTCAAAGAGCCCCGTCCACGATGCACTCGGCCAAGATATCGCCGCCTCGGTCGCTGCACGCCTTTCCCCGAGACATCTTGGAACTCTCTCTCTCTCTCTTCTATATACATACGTGCAGCTTCCACGTGCGCGTTTGCAGTTTTTTTTTTTTTTTTTTTTTCGTTTTGTATAACAGTTGTATGCATATCTCTCTCTGCTGCCATTATATCGTTCGACCATTGGATCTTTCAGTGGCGGCCTGCTTAGTTTTTTTCCTACGCGCCATCAGTGGGAAGAAAAACACACCCATGTGCCGCTACACGTTTATGTATAACTCTGCTGTTTTTCTGTTTTCGAAATCCCCTACAATATGTTTTCCACTCGTTTATATTGCGGAACGCGAAAAACATGTATATGCCACATTACGAGCTCTCGCGCGGCTGCAAAACAGTTTTTATGGATTTTTAAGTGTGCATTGTCTGGTTTCTCGGTTCTTTTTTTTTTTTTTTTTTTTTTTATCAGCTACTAAATTGTGCGCTCTACAAAAGTGTGCGCGTAGCCGGTGTGTAAATTTAACAAGTTTCGAGGCGTACAACAATCGTCAAACGGGCAAATTACGTTATTTCGAATCGTTGAAAAGAGACGAAAACCGCGCGGCAATGACTCATTGGTAGGAGAAGTAAAAAAAAATATGTGGAAGAGAAATAAGTTGCTATACACAGTCGTTCAATGACGACAATCGGGAGAGAGAGGCGGTGATTAGGGGGCCCGAAAGTTGGCTTGTATAAAAAATTTACTTTTTTTCTTTGTTAGCTATACATACGTCAATTTGAACAAGCAAAGACCCATGCTGGACGATCGGCAACGATCCTTTGTTATTGTTTTTTCATTGTCGATTAAAGTTTTATCGTCGGAAGCTTCGAGAAATCAACACCGAGTTGTCAACTAATCTTTCCCTCTTTCATATTAAATACGTATACACTTATAGCCTCGATCGCTTGCAAATGAGAAGAAGAGAGTTCGTCGACCAAGTCGAAAGGTAAAAAATAAACGCGTTGGAATCGTTCGAAGTTACTATTTCAACGCAATTGGTCCATTAACGTACATATGAATTGCTTATACCCCCGAGGAATTTGTGAAAAATCGGTGCATCCAAGCGCTGCTATCTTCCTACATTGTAAGTGTATAGATTATCGGCGTCATTGAGCAATGGGTGTGTGCGTAGGCGTGCGTGTCGGATTTTTTAAAATGATTTTCTTAACGAGCGCAGTGGTCGGGGGGGAGGGAGGAGGGGAGGGGAATAGGCCATTTTGATAACTAAATCACTGAAATTCCGTCAGATTGTACGTGTCCATTGTGCTCGCAGGCGCTTATAACACCGCGTGCTCCACCGACCGGGGATCATTCGGTACTCGAACGAGACGACACACAACGCCCGAGAGCTTTTTGAATTTTTAATTAGCTGCAGCTACGACACAAGTGTGCGTGTGCTTGTTTCACTCTCGGGACGCGGCAACAGTGCAGAAGCTGGACCCAACAACGACTATACAGTATAGAAGCGATCGCTAGGCTAGGAAGTGACGAGTGACGCAATAAAAACACCTGGTTGCACAATAATACTGTTTTTTTTATACAATACGTACACCGGAAAGTTGGCCTAGACTCCTCGAGCAACAAAAAAGTGTACACTCGCACTACAGCTAAACGTATATAAATGCTACGATAAATAGTGCCTCTCGATATACGTAATAAGTTGCGTTCGGCGGTCAGTCGACGATAATGATGCATTATACGGATCTGCCGAGGCTAGAGGGAGGAGAGAAAAGGGGCTGCCGGTGCCATCCTTCTCTCCCTTACGCGCAGCAAAGGTGCGGGAGCACGACGCTCATCCCGGAGCAGGTACATTGTCACGCACTTAAAAGATAACGTAACATTTGGAGCTTCGCCATGTGAAGTATACCTACTTACTTATCGCGCGTTTTTAGAGAAAGAGAGAGCGCCTCGCCTATATTATAATACCTGTTAGGAAAGTCGAAAACAACGAAACTACGTGCTGCCGATTCTTATGAGCTTCGACGATGCTGGTATATACTTACGTCTTACACGCGTGTGAGCGGAAAATCACGTCAGAGGGTTCGTTCTATCATATTTTTCACGACTTTATAGTTTTTTTTTTTCTCTCTTTTTTTTTTTTTTAGCCATATACGTTGGTTCGTAAACAGTGGGTGAAACGGTAGGTAAAACGGTAGGTTTATTGAAGCTCAAATTCCATCTAGAAAAAAAAACTTTATTTATTAATGAAAATTTTTGTCCAGAGTGGGATTTGAACCTCGGCTTTTATAGTTGAACGTCATGAATCATCATCATCGCCCCTTTCTTTGGTCAACCTCACACACATGGCTATTCTTACCTTTTTTTTTTTGCTCTGTCTCTCCATCTCTAGATATTAATTCCTTTCCTTTTACGATGATATACACATGGCCTGCTCAATGTGCTCGCGTTTTATTTTTACTTCTTATTTACATGTTAAGCCAATCCAATGCCGCGTGTGGACAACGAGAGAGATATATGTCTGTTGTATTAATGGCTTCTTTTTTTTTTTTTTTTTTTTTTCGTTTTTCAGACTCACATGCTGCTCATGGAAGCTTTCATGCAAAACAACAGGCTGGACCACGTAGTGAGGGTCGTATGCACGCATCCGACCTACCTCGAGCAGTTCTTGCGCACGCAAAATTTCATTCTACGGGGCGACGGGCCACTTCCCTACGACTACAGGCACCTCATAGCCATCATGGTAAGTTTAATTGAAAACAAAAAAAACTTTGTTCATTAGTAAGTACACGTATATATGTGTGTACGTACATGTGAGAAAATGGAGGATTTGCAAGAGTATAGGTTTTATCTCGCGTAAGGTAAATGTCCCTATTATGATCACAAATTTCATCACACGCACATCTTTAATTTTTTTTCTTAACTGTGAGGTTTAACAGTAGAAATTTTGGTATTAGCTGGTGCGCTATAAATTTATCATTATTATTCTAATTTTTAAATATGGTTTAAATGGTTCTTAGTTGTTAAAATACTTTATTTTATAAAAAGATTACAAGACCAAAATGTACATAATTATGAAACGTTGTATTTTATATTATGTCCCTATTTAGGAAACTTTTTTAAAAACATAAATTGATTATAATATTTTAAGACAATTAAAGCTTTTTCACTTGCATAACACTATTTTATTTAACAAAAATAATTATATCGTTTATTTGTTTACTAGAAATATAAAAATTCCTCATTGAAGTTTGGTGCCATAATACGTACAGTTCAAAAGATAATTGGTCATTTATTGTATGTAAAATGAAATTTTTCTTGTGAATTCATAAAGATACATAAAATATACAACTACCACAATTTTTTTATCAAGTTAGTTGTATAACAAATACATGATATTTTATGTTCCATGAATAGGGACACGTTCCACGAATAAGGACATTTACCTTATCTCCCCAATGCTCAAAACCAAGAAGCGTATGAGTACGCACAATGTCAAACGTTATCGTAATAGAGCGGCGTTGATAAAGTGATAAAGTAAAAAATACGCATACCTAATTTTACGAGGATCACGTCATTGTCGCGCCTCTCTCGCGCATTTTAACACATATCACGGCTTGTTCTTCCGACGCGCAAGTTTTTCGGCCTTGGAGCGGTCACCCTCTCCCCTCTCCCCCGCCGCTGTCGGGCCTTCTTATTCTCTTTAGCTCGGAGCATCGATAATATTATTCAACCGGTGGGTTTCCGGAATTCTTTTTTCCCTTTCATCGCGAACTTTGATATTTTTTACACGCACGCGGATAAATACACGTGTATACATACCTATACGTCTGTGTGCATCGTAAAGCACACAATTGGGCGAGAGAGCGTGTGTTTTCTTTAATTTCGATGAAAAATTGTTTTTGAGAGAGATACTTAATTATAATATACATGCATGCCTCTCCCGCCAAGATAAGATTGCGTTGTTTCGTGTGTGTGTGTGTGTAGCAGCGAGAAACGTCGACGATGCGCGCTCGAAATTATTATCATCATCATCATTGTTGCACTTTTTCGCCAAAATTATCGATTGTTAATTACTTTAACTTGTCGAGTCTGTTTTCCCCTCCCCCTACCGATAATTATTGCAATGATCGGTATACCCGCGTATACTCGATGTACGGCCCGTGTAAGCGAGAGAGTAGGTACACACATTGTGCCACGAAGAGTTAAAATGCCTCTTCGAGAACTGATTCTTATCGCGTCTCTTGGATACATTCGACGATGATGATAATGATCGAGTGTTTCACGGCGCAAGTATAATAATGTGCCTAACTAACCACAGACAATCGCCAGCTTCGAGTGTTTGAGCACGTGCGCAACAGGCATGAGTCAAAAAACACATTTCCATTAAAAAAAAAAAAAAAAAAAAAAACTGATAGTCGCGACGAGGAAAAGTGTATGTGTAACTGGCGTGGGAAAAGAAGAAGAAAAAATATAGCCCGCCTGCACCTTTGTTTGTCTGGTTGGTTTTGCGTATACCGGTGAACTCGTTTTGTAAAAAATGGTACCTATACTTTAATTTCTTTTTTTTTTTTTTTTTTTTTTTTTTTTTTTTTTTTTTTTTTTCTTTCCTTTCGTTTTGTCGTGTAAAAACTTTCCCCGAGTCTATTTAAGCATGTATATATAGGAGGAGCCGCGAAAATCGGCGACTCGCGTGCCGTGTCCGACGCCCATTGGCAATAAAACTACAATGCGCTCTCCCGGTATCTCGGAGATAACGCGGGGTAAACAGTCGCGATCTCGTCTCTGATGGGGAGGGGGGGGGACGAAAAATAACGTAATCTCCGCGCGTGCAGTTGATTGCGAAAACAAGGAGGAGGAGGAGGTACGAGAGGTACGGACTCGGGACGAAAATAAGCGCAATCGGTGCTGAAAAATCTCCCCCGTGTCCGAGAGGGCCGTGAGCGACGCGCGATAAACGATAAGATAATGGCGCGCGTCTGAAAAACAGGTTCCACTCGCGGGCTTTGCTAAACACTTGTAAACCGCTCGCGCCGCTAAAGGGGGGGCTTTGCTATTCTTCCTCAAAATAAGCCTTCGTCTTTCTCTTGTTTTTCAGGAGTAAAAAAAGCATCCACGTACATTTTTGGGAAAATTTCGTCGCTCGCGTTGCACGGGCAGCACGTAAACGCGATTGGCCTTTTTATTTTTTCGAGGAGCGCTCGGCGAGTTACGCAATCGCGATTTTTCCTCACGAACGGCCTTGACGAAGCTCCGTTTGCTCTTCTTAGTGCTTCTCTTCGATCCTAATGGCTTTTTTTTTTTTTTTTTTTTTCCTTTTCTTTCACCGAGAGTACCTCCGATCGAAAAATGACAACCAGCGTCTTTTTGACGGCTTCCAAGCTCTCGGGACACGAGTACTCGGCTGATCGTCGCGGCGATGCACGTACACTTATAATTATAGGCTCGCGCGAAAATCAGATCAACCACATTATAGACACGTATATTGTATCTACATACGACTGTAGTTCTGGTGATGCAATGACGCAACGATAGAGCAGATCGAACAAGAGTAAGCTTGGAGCGTGTAACGAGATGTTATAAACTTTGGCATTAAAATAATGTTTGGTTGTGCACGTGTGTGTGTGTGTGTTTTCAGGCATCGGCGAGGCATCAGTGCAGTTACCTCATAAACCTGCAAAAATCCGAGTTCCTGCGCCAGGGCGGCGACGAGTCCTGGCTGCAGGGCCTCAAGTCGATGCCAGGCAAGCTCCAAGACCTCCAGGAGATCAACAAGATCCTCGCGCACAGGCCCTGGCTGCTCAACAAGACGCACATCGAGGTATACAAATCATCCGCCCCATAAACAAAAGAAAAAAAAAAAAAACGCGCGTAGAGCTCACGCATAGTATACTTATACCTGTTTTGTGTTTACCCCGGTGTAGAAATTGACAAAGGGCTCGGACAGCTGGTCGTTGGCCGAGGTGGTGCAAGCGATAGTCCTCCTGGCGCACTTCCACGCGTTGTCGTCCTTTGTGTTTTCGTGCGGGGTGAACGAGGAGCTCGACGACGCCGCGAGTCACCTCATGTGCAAGGAAAACGTCCCGCCCACCGCCAATCTCCAGACGCCCCTCGAGCCGAACAAACAACAGCAGCTCGGCTGCACGAGTCCCCCCAAGCAGATAATCATACCCAACGGGTTTCCCCGTCGGCAGAGCGGTAAGAAGCAACAGCAGCAGCCCTCGCCGCCCGCGTCGCCCTGCGGGGAACAGGAGGTCGGCGTCGAGACCCTCATGGAGCGCATGAAGCGCCTCTCGGAGAAGAACGAGTCGTACAGCATAACCCAGGAGGAGCTCTCGAAGCGCTTCGAGAGCGTCGAGACTCAGTCGGCGGAACTCGCGGCGGCGCCCCAGCGCAACAGCGTCCTCCTCGACTCGGACATTGGTCTCTTCATCGACGACCCGAGCTACGTCTACCAGGACTTTGCCAAGGTACGGTAGTTTGCTTTTTTTTTTTTCCATTTCAACGATCATGCGAATAAACGCCCCTTAAAATGTAACCGGTGCCCATTGTAATTTCAGCGGGGTCAGCTCAACGACATACCGATATTCCGCGTGCAGGACTACTCTTGGGACGACCACGGCTACTCGCTCGTCAACAGGCTCTACAACGACGTGGGCAATTTGCTCGACGATAAATTCAAGACGGCCTACAACCTCACCTATTACACCATGGGTACGCACAGTCGGGTCGACACGTCGCGTTTTCGCCGAGCCATCTGGAACTACATTCAGTGCATGTTCGGCATCATGCACGACGATTACGATTACAACGAGATCAATCAGCTCGTCGAGAGTAGTCTCAAGACGTTCATCAAGAACGCCGTTTGTTACCCGGAACGGGTCACCAAGAGGGACTACGATCGCGTGATGCGCGAGTTCAAGCACAGCGAAAAGGTACGTTTTCAAGAGCCAATACCACAATTTTTTTTTTTTTTTTTTTTTTTTTCCCCTCTTATTGTTTATCTAATGTCATTTCGATTCCAGATTCATGTGAGCTTGATGATTTTGGAGGCTCGGATGCAGGCGGAATTGTTGTACGCGCTGCGCGCCGTCATGCTCTACATGACTTAACTGTCCAGGCCCGCTGATTGGCAGCTGTGCAGCGTTCCAGCAGGCTCATTTGACGGCGACAACACCAGCGCGTCATTAATAGGGACGGATAACGAGAGGCCTAACGAACCTCGATCCAAGCGTCACTCGATCAGAGATCGGCCGTCAATGTTGCTGTTGTTGTCGTCGTCGACGTCGTCGACTTACAAAGTGTTGCTATCCTGGGGAGGCCATCGGTGGCGAGCAGAGAGCCCTTTAAACTCAACTTTTCGAGTAGACATTCACGTAAGTGGAGAGCAGTGAAAAATTTATGACGTTAGTGAATACGAGAAATTGGCGAGCTGTTGTTGAGTTAGGGGTGGGAAATGAAATTAAATTGACTACGAGGGATACAGAGGGATAGTTTTGCAAAACGTACACCGGTTATTTCGAGCCAACTTAAGGAAGGACCGTTGTTTGTCGATTCGATTTTTTGTAGATAAATTTTGTGCGTTCAAATCAACTTTGTCGCTGATAAATGTATTTTTTTATTTTCATTTTTTTTTTTTTTTTAATGGAGCGGGGAGAGGAAAATCTTCATAGACACCCCAGCTAATCCGGTGGTAGTGTCGGATTCGACCGGTGTGCCTACCGACTAAAAACTAACCTTCCNAAGAAGGAGATAGATAGATTTTTTCAATTAATTGTGTAAATATTTATTTAATATGTGATCGATTTTTAATAACTAGCTAGCTTTGCAGGCAGAGATCTATTATTATTATTATTATTATTCACCTAATGTTATAAATGAATACGACTGAATTTTAAAAACGAAATTTTTTCATTTTTATCAGACAAACCGACTGTATTAGGTAATATTTGTGCGAAAACTTATTTGTGAATTGTTGCTTCTTCGTTGAATTTTATAAATAGGGAGATCTAATTTAATTAGCTATTAAATAATCAAATCTTACAGATGGACAAGTCGGTTAATTTCTGACAGCTCTACGATTAAAGTTGTGTCACACATCTTAATTAATGATTTTTGTCGCACAAACATGTTACGTTCATAATTTATTAATGCAAAACAAATATACGCAATCGAAACTTGATTCCATTCACAGGTTTTATATTAAAATTTTTTTTTTTCATCACCCATTAAATTTCGTGTGATTAAAAAAAGGATAATAATCCTAACGAAGAGGCTGCTTTCTCAAATCAAATTTATAGGATTATAAAAATTAACTAAAAGTATGACTTGTATATAATGATTACTGTATATTGTATCGAAAAACGTATTTGCACATTGCAAATGGGATATAAATTATATTACGTGGTTAAAAAAAATTAATTAAAAACATCACACGTTTTGAATGAACTTGAAACGAAAATTTTTTTATTCAAAGTAAAAAAGTAAAGAGTTTCATTACAATGTAGCATTTTCCTTTAATTGACTTGTATATGGAGAGTATATACGTAGCGATTGAATGTATCTTGCGTCCATCAAGAATTTGGAATAATCTTAGTGATAATAAGAATAATAACGATAATAATAGTAATGAATTTCAGGTAAAAAGTAATTCAAGTACGTTTATATTTCTGTGATGAAATGGAAAATCACAGTCTTTGAAATAAAATATAGCAACACGACCAAGTACAGAAAATTTTTTTATATTCTCTATAACTATATGGGACGTTAAAAAACATTTTCGACCAATAAATGCGATTCCTGGAATTAGTACTGACATATCAAAGTGTATAGAACACGTTAAAGTTGTTTATTGTCTTACATTTTATTCAGTTATTCAGTTTGAAAGTATAATTATCCATATTTTATTTACAAACAACTCTAAATCAAATTTTAAGACATGTAAATTGTCAAAAAACTTTTGGATACGTTTCAAACAGGTTTTGATTTGAATCGAAAAATCATTGAGAAATGTAACTATATGCGAGCTTCAACAAACATGTATATCCGAGGTAATTATCCGAAAAGATTGATAGGACAATATTTTATTGATTTTAAAAAAAAGCTGTGTTAAACCAAATTTGTATAGATTTTTCAATAATAAGTTATTATAAATCTAAAAGTTTTTATTGATCGCCGCCGCCTCATTAAATATATCACACACGCGTTTTGTTAATACAATTTTTTTTTTTTTATTCGTACATGCATAAACTCATTTGTTGTTTACGTCGACAGTTTTTCGAAAAGAAAACTCTCAAGACGACAACTAATTAACAAGTAGGAAGACAAGATAAAATAAAAAATAATGTTTGACTTTGTAAGATCCTCGTGTCTCTCTACGCGTTAATTACACTCACATCCACGATTGCTCAGTTATTTTTCTTCCTCTGTGCAATCATCATTTAAATTCCAAAATTTAATTGTTTTTACTCGTACGCTCCTTCAGCGCAACTCTGTTTTTACACGGCCTTCGGAGAATTCGTCGGCTAAATCTATTATTTAAGTTATTAAACAGTGAGCGGAGATTCGCGAGCGGCCGTCTCGCAAGATGGCCATGAAGCTTGCGAATTTTAGACAAGCGATCTCAAAGAGTGCAAAAGTCAGGGGCGTCGAGTAAAATTGCGTTTACAACAATATGTACCTTTATCATCGATTTTAACGAGCTAATGAATAAGCGACTGTGTGTGTGTATGTGTGTATTTGTCTGTCTGGATGCATTACGGTTGTGTACATGTGAGTACAGAAAGAGAAAGAAAATTAGCGAGAAAAGATTGAAAAGTAATTTCGCCGACTTTGGGAAATATAATATTCTCATTTACAGTGTTTTACAAGAGGTCTGATACCTAGTATACCGGGTATCGTTATTGGCAAAATTACTTTAAACAACCCGTAAAGGCTATTTGGTGATTATATAGTTACATGGCGATGACTGCGAGATGGTGATGCATCGACAAGCGGAGCTCGCAGTATTATGTACATATAAGTATATGTATACACATATATCTATATTTATATATAAATATTTCTAAAATAATTTGCAAAATTTTTATTTTCTATGATTGCGAAAAATTTAAGCATCCATCTGTCATTGTTTTAATCTATTGCCGTAGGAGATAAATAAACGTGTGATTTATTAAGAGAGAAAGAGAGAGAGAGGCAGGAGGATATTAAAAAAAAGCTGTTGAATGATTTAACAGTAGTTTATCGTTTGAAACTAATGGTTTTAGTTAGCTCAATAACAAGAAGAAGCACAGCGAAAAGGTACGTTTTCAAGAGCCAATACCACAATTTTTTTTTTTTTTTTTTTTTTTTTCCCCTCTTATTGTTTATCTAATGTCATTNGCCAGATTGGCCGTGTACGACGAGATGATGATCAGGGTGAAGAACCACCAGATCCCACTGACTATCCTCGTGCTCGCGGCCTATTATAAACATTAATTGAATCGTATTATACAGTGTGTCACTTGTGTGTTCTCGGTTGTGATTTCGCAAACGCCTGGCAAGTGAAATCGTTAACATAATTTCCCGTAGTAATCACGTATTGTCACACGTTATTTCACACCTGAGTAAAAAATTTTCATCGCAATTACAAAAAATTAATGTGACATTCTATAAATACGATACACATCTAATCCATGTGTAACAGTTTTCGTACTGAGTGGCAAAGTAAATATATACATATATCTAGATGGCGTCATCTTCACTTTCAAGAGTCATAAAGCATATTAATAGTATGTATGTATGTACAAGACACCACATCAAGAGTGATAATTCAAGTGATTTGACTTGACCCTTCCGACTTTCGAAAACAACAAATCCACATAAAAACGAACGACGAGTCAACAGTGTGATTGTCAATCGCTTCTATTTAAAGCGTTAGACGGTGTATTTTGTCGTATTTAGTTTTTTTTTTTTTTTTTATCATGAAGCCGTCTATTAATAAAGCTTATGGCTGCAATCAAGACACGCTTGCATCAACATGTTAATTGTAATACGACGATTCAACGTTAATTTTATTGTGTTTATCAGTCTGATAATACCGTAGTTAAACATAATATTTTGATCATCTGCGATGATATATATGTTTGTCAAGTTTCATTGGCTGATGCTTTGAATAAAGCGTGATCATCATACGTAATGTGGGCGGGTAGGGTTGTATGTGATGTGATTTTTTTTGTATCGTAACTGATAATGAACACTAAAAAATGTTATAGTTTCATATACAAGTGATATGTTATTTATCATTTATTTTATCTCTTAATAAATGATGTTATATAAAAAAAATGGCATTTTATTTACTTAGTATTTTTCTCGATATTTGTCAGACGTTGTAGTTATAGTTTTCGTGTCAAATATTAATATGCTCGTTCTATTCAACTATATTGTGCATGATGATTTTATGTTGACGCATTGCTACGTCAATCCTAACGAGGCAATGAATTTCGATACAAATGTAATTTTGTGATGTTATAATTGACGTAATGCTTGAGGCCAGTACTGTTGAACTTGGTTCTTTACTTTTATTTTCACACAATTAAAATTAATTTACTTGATGAAATTTTAAACTAGAACTCTTTTAAGAAGATTTTTTTAATTAAAAAAAAAAAAAAAATTAAGTTTCCATTTTGTAATAAAAACTAAAAATATTTCATAAAATACTTGAATAAAAAATTTAACTTAATAAAGTGGCGACAAATGTTTACTAAGAGATCATTTGATAATCGTAGTACCAATAATTTTTCAAACGCTATTAGTTTTTAAAGTACTACATCTTTGGTTAACTTTTTCCATTTTTGGATATTAAAAAAGTTTTAACATCTATAAAAAATTTAAGTAAGTACACAGATGCGATCAATAACACTAGAATTTTACAGGGTAGTGTTCACACTGCCGTAAAAGATGAATAAAACCAACGATTGATGTTATAAACGCTGTCTTTATTTCCGAGAGCCCTTTCTTTCCACACGAAAGAAAGAAAAATTCTAACTTAGCCACACACGTTACACTACAAGTGACGACAGCTAGTTTGACAACTGTTGGTAAAGTTACTTAACTAACTTGGCTGAGCTCAAAATGGTCATTATCAATTTTGACAATTGGCACTTACATAAATAACAATAAATATTTAACACTATTTAATCAACTTGATACACAATATTCTCTTTCTACAGTCAAACACTTGTATTTACAACATCGGGACAATCAAATTTGTTTCATCCCGATGAAAAAAAAAGCTCCTTCATTTACTTTATGTGCCTCGTCGTTGTTGATAATACCTATTCGGACGTAAAACGAACGGGAAAAATCGTTATCTCTTTTTGTACATCAGTTGAGCCATTAACGATCGACTATGGAAAAACGATTAAGTAGCCGCACTAGTTTGTATAGTCCCCTGCTTATTGTCGTCATAGGCGATCGCGAGGTGACATTTCCAGTCCCGGAGCACCGCACTGAAAAGAGACAGTACAAGGAGTGTGCATAGGTAAAAAGAACAAAAAACGAATAAAAAAGATGTACAACTTACTTGCGATCCGTTAATGAGCGTCGGCATCGGATTGTCGGATCGGCGCGACGAGCTGCGGCAGTGCAGAGCGCGGCACAGCTCGCGCGCCATTTCCGAGCACAATGACTCCTCGTGGTTTCGGGTCTGCGAAACTCCTTGTACGGAGGCAGAACAGGTTGGCGGTGGTGGCAGCGGCGGTCTATCCTCCTGTCGAAAAAAATTCATTCAACATTTTCGTACTTAATTACCATCCCAAAAAGATGTGTATTTTTGCGAGTATCATTGTAATATATTGTGTGTATTTTTAGTTGTATACTCTATTGGGGGTTTCAAATGCAATCCTCACCTGCGCCTGGCTTTGAGCATCGAAATCCACTGAGGTCAGCTGCTATACTCTTTATTCAATAATCGACGAGTTCATGCTGAGGATCAATCACATACACATGCACATTCCGTAATTATGAATAACAACGATAAAAGTCAAGTGGGGGAAAAAAATGAAGAAAAACCATCGGCAACTCACGCTTTCAGCCGGTGCGCTTCTCTTGGAGTTGTAGCAAAATTCGAAGATAGCAATGAGTACCGCAAACACCAGTCCACACAGCAAAACAACGAATATACCACCTGCACACGTGAAAGAGCATTGTTTATTTTCGCGATGCGGATAAACGGTGGGTAAATTGGTAGTGATAAATCACCAATATTGTCGACCCCGAGGGCATTGGCTTTGCTCTCCTTGCCCTTCTCGTTCCTCATGCACGTGTCGCTCGGGCTCTTCCACCACTTGTTGTACAGTATTTGGATTTCTCCCTTCTCCTGGAGCTCGAGGATGGCCAGCGAAATCTTATCCCTCCACGGCGAGCCTGGCGTAGAAACGAAGTATAAGCACACGCCATTCTTATGGACACAATTTAGCAATGACAACATGTACATCAGCTCACCCATGGGCGTCGCTATGCCGTAGCCCTTGCTGTCGAGGAGACCTCCAACCTGCGTCAAGTTGCAGTCTCTCTGCACAATGTAGTCGAGCATTGTCGATTCCATGAGAAAGGCGTAGTTGCCCTGGAGGACCTTCTGGATGCCCTCCTCGTAGGTTGGCACGAACACCGATGGTTTCTTGTTCTCCATGAAGCGCCACATCTTTTTGTACGTCTCGATCATCGAATCCTTCAAAAGTTTGGAGGATGTTTTTTTTTACGTCAGTCAGAAGCAGTTTGAATTGAATAAACATATAATATATGTACCCTGAAGAAGGTCATTGTGCTGCCGCTCTCGAGGGTGCCGTAAGATATGTCGGTCTGGCTGGCGAGATCCTCGGCGTTCTCGATCGGCGTGATCATGCGCTCGACCGTTAGGAAGGCCGCCAGATTGGCCGTGTACGACGAGATGATGATCAGGGTGAAGAACCACCAGATCCCACTGACTATCCTCGTGCTCGCGGCCTATTATAAACATTAATTGAATCGTATTATACAGTGTGTCACTTGTGTGTTCTCGGTTGTGATTTCGCAAACGCCTGGCAAGTGAAATCGTTAACATAATTTCCCGTAGTAATCACGTATTGTCACACGTTATTTCACACCTGAGTAAAAAATTTTCATCGCAATTACAAAAAATTAATGTGACATTCTATAAATACGATACACATCTAATCCATGTGTAACAGTTTTCGTACTGAGTGGTTTTTACGGGAATCCTATATATCGTAAATTAGATTGCTAATTTGCCAGAGATGAACGAAAAAACTGATTTCTTCGTTCCTCTTTTATTGGGTTAGTGGAGTTATACCATTCCATCGTTCCTCTTGCATTGGGTCAGGTGGGGTTTTGCTATTCCATCGTTCCTCTTTTATTGGGTCAGTTGAGGTTATCCCATTCCAATGTTCCTGTTTTATTGGGTTATATCGTTCTAACGTTCTTCTTTTATTGAGTCAATGGGGTTGTACCAGTTTGCCCTTCCTGTGTTATATTATTACGTTATCTGTATCACATAACCGACGCAACCCAGTTACTACGAAAGAGCTTAATATACGCCAGGCACTGGTGCGAGAGTTGCTTTTTTCGAGCAATGGATAGCACGCACGCATTTAGCATGTGTGATCGGGTGCTACTGTCGATAGGTTTGTTCAAGCCTTTTTTGGTTCGGTTCGGTTCTTTTAACAAATTATACCTATATTATAATTTTACAGGAGCTATTCACATAGACATTTTTTGCTTATTTCATTGTGAACGTTCATATTGAAAAGGGGGTTCCACTGTTCCTCTGAACTCAAATTGAGTAAACAGAGTAACAGACTGAACAGACCTATACTGTGTTGTACTGTGTCTCTGATGGAAAAAGAGGTATAGGTCTGTTCAGTCTGTTCACTCACTTTGAGTTTAGCGGAACAGTGGAACCCCCTTTTCAATATGAACGTTCACAATAAAATAAGCAAAAAATGTCTATGTGAATAGCTCCACAGAACCAGTTCTGTTTGGTTCCCTATACACAAGTATACTTTGCTAAGAGAACCAAACCAAACCGAAAGGGGCTTGAACGAACGAACGAACCTGATGTGTTTTCCACACAATCTATATTATGGCAGGCGACATCGGTCTCCTTGCTCTTTTTCGTGACTGTGTTTATACCCTGAATAACCTTGCATCAGTTTCAACTCGTTTCAAGTTAAAGCGCAACCCGTCCTGATGGTTACGCTTATTTTTACAGGCGCGTGGTTTTACAACCAATAACAATGCAGTGGGGTGTTGACATTTTGTTTCACAAAGTTTACTTTTGGAACCCAATAACCCACAATTTATAACATATAAACATCATGTCGATCGTGTGTACTTAATTAACCTCAATTTTTGGGTTGTATAGACAGTCAAGAGTGTCAAACGCGACTGAATTACCCATGTATATCATGAATGATCGAGTTGGGTCCATAAAAATATATCTGTATTTCACAGACTACAGTCAATCTACGTGTTGTATCGATTGTAATTTTGTGCTCTGGTGAAAATGTACGCAATCAACAAAAAATTTCTAATGCGCTCACCCTGGGATTGAGATCACTGCCCTGCTGCATGAGGGTGCCGATGGTGAACCAGAAGCTGTTGGCCAACGAGAACTGATTCTCGACGACCTCGGCACCAGTGTGACACGGGTACTGGGGCTCGTTCCACTCGTACGGGCTGAAACGCGCGACTACGAACATCGTCACCGAGACGAGGATGTACGCCGCGAGCACGTACAGCCAGATCTCGATCGCCAACGGGTTCATGAAGGAGAAGAGCCGCGCCTGATGACTCGTCGGCACCTGTACCAACCACCAGGTAATTTTTTTTTGTCGTCCAATCGTGATTATCATCATTGTTCAATAAATATACACGCATTTATGATACTCGTAATTGACATATATATGTATATATTATGTCTTTTGCATATTTCTTTCTCATTTTTAAAGATAAGCACGCAACCACTGGCTTGGTCATTAAGGGTCAATGGAGCTGAAAATTCTCGTGCTGTAATACGTATACTGCTCAGTTAAACCGTCACGTAGCGACAAAGTTAGTTTGAGCAGCTAGCAGCTTCCGATGAGTGTACGTATGCATCCATGTCTAAAAGTACAACCTCCTATTGGTCTGGTCAGCGAGATGCGATCCTTAGTGTATAATACAAGTGGGAGCAGTTAGTTGAGCCACGAGCCCAAGAGGAGGTGCAGGGGGAGGAGTTTCGTCCAGAGGCCCGTCGTCGTGTGCGGCTGTCACGTCCAGCGGGTCCTTTGAGTAAAACGAGCATCCCATTCATCGAGTGTATAGTTGCTCGTAGCTTTAATTGCGCGCGAGAGCGGTCAATTTGCAGCGATTAAAGGGACCTCGGAGCTACCTCTGTTTATTATAGACTGCAGCTGTTAGAAGTACTTGCTCTCTCCTCGAGGAAAACTCCTCACACTCCCCATCTCGTCACCCTGTACTGCAGATAAATTGCTTTCTCCGCTACATGTACACTTGCTCGATCACCGTGTACTCGTTGTACCCTCCTTCAGTTCAATTTATTGTTCTTTGTTTGATTTCGACAAGTAAGAATTTCAATTACCTTGAATAGGATCGATATGCCAAGGTTCATGAATGGTTTTGTGAAATCGATGACGCTCTCCCGAGCGTAGTTTATGGTCATCGATCCGACTGCCAGATCTGCCTTCTGAAAGTAAGAGAAAAAAGCATGCATCATTTGGATTCGTCAAGTGAAATATTTGTACATTGATCATTTCATGGCATCGTTTTAACTTTTTTTTTTTTTTTTTTTCCAAGTTCTATGTAAATGCAGGCACAAAGTCGCAAAGAGGCGTTAATAGGATTAGTATGAAACTACGGGTTGTATTGCAAGCGATTCGAAAATGCTTAGAAGAAAAAAAAAAAAAAAAAAAAAAAAAAAATGTTAATCAGTAGATCAAGCCATTCAGAATGAGAATTACAAAAAAATGGTTTGCCATGCGAAAATAGTCTGGGCTACGTAGTCCCATAAATAGTTCCTATTGTAAACTATGTACACCTATTGAATATTTTATTAGTTGCAAAAGTACTCGTTGCAGCTTCAATCGAGAGCCACTAATGTTGTATCGAAAAATGTCACCCATCGTATTTTCTCCAGAGCATACATGAACAAATGGCCGTAATCTCGAAAGCGTGTTTGAAACATGTGATGCTGCTATACCTGTATCGTATTGTAACCGTGTGCGCGTAAGTAAGTGTCCATATCTTTTTTTTTTTTTTTTTTTTTCTTTTCTTATTTTCAAGCTTCACTTTTCCTTGGCGCCGTTGTATCCATTTCGCTGGTGTTGCATGTCACCGCCTCAGATTTTCGCGAGACTTTATTTATTATATGGCCATCCGGTGAAAAGTAACGAGCCGGTGTCCCTCTACACTAGTGCATACCTATGTACATTCCGTTTTCTCTCTTTCCCGAGGACCCTCGCAAGCTGCGATTAATCTTATTCTTCAGCGTAGGAGGCGCCTCGCAACTTTCGTATAATGAGCTCAATAACAACAACAAAGACTGCCGGTGTATGCCCGGCTATGTTTTCATTCATCACCTTGTATCTACCTTCCGGCTCTTCCGAACCGGTTGTGAGAAGAAAAAGAGTCACAATGGACAGCACCGGCAGCGAGTTTTATAATTCTAGCCGACAAACTTTGTTTCGGAGCAAAAAGCCCGACTGAATCGACCTGGTTTTTGTTTTCTTCTTACAACGCGTTGGGACGCGCCATGGCTTTTAACGAATAAAGTTTTTTCACCCCCTCCACTACGTAATGAAAAATAACGATGCCTGCTTTTTTTAATTTTCGCGCGAACCGAGTCAATAGTCGTAACGAAGCGAAAGACACGAGAAATGCCATTGTTTCAGCAATCAGTCCCAAAGCGAGAACAAAAAAACAAACGATGTTTTTGTTGTCGCATTGTCGATGCCGTCGTTTACATGCGCATACCAGCACGGCTCGATTGGGTACGCCAAATAACGCTCGTCATCAGTTCCATCGGAAATGTAACGAAGCTCAAAGCCGCATTTGTCGGACCACTATTAGCTATATATACACAACATCCACACGGTACACGAGACTCTTTGGCCATTGCTATATGTATTATGTTTGATAGAGACGTGGATTGGATGAACACTGGATGCTACACGACGACCCTTAAATCTAAAACAAAAAGCCTATCCTCGATTATTGAACGAGCAGTTGCACGTGCGTATGTATAGGTATATGCCTCGCGCGCCCGAGAGAGAAGCTCTAAAAGTTCGTTCGACCGATGAAACATCACCTTTCCCCCATACCACCGCCAATCGGGTTAGCTCACGTATTTGAAATGGCCACTGTAAAGCTCTCTCACCGATGCGCGAGAAAAGCTCGAGGTTAAATTTTCAGAAGATAGAGAGAAGCAGGATAACGTATGGATGTTTGGTCATTAGCGCCTGTGGTAAGGATAACTGAAAAGTGTAAAAAAAAAAAAAAAACACTCCCCGCGCACACAGAGAAGCGAGGGTGAAAAAGCACATCAGCATCATAGTGAGAGAGAGAGAGAGAAAGAGAGATGGGTCATGGCGGCCACTCACGTATGATTGTCTGGACGGCGCTGGGAGGTGAGGTGGGAGGGGAGCACTTACCTTGTCCATGAGTTGTCGTACGATGCCGTTCCACTCGCCGGTCTCGTAGTCGTAGACGCCGTACTTGCCGTCGGGCACGAGCTCGATCCTGTAGGCGAAGCCGACCATGTGGGCTATCTCCTTAAGAAGGTCGATGCAGAAGCCCTGGTAGCGCTCGTTGCCGCTAAAATTGTCGACGCCGCTGCCGCCCCCTGAGCCACGGCCCCGCAGCATCACGTACGGCTGCTCCTGCGGCATTAGTCGGTATCACCCCCCTGCACATCTATGTCGCGCGACCGTGTGCTCACCGAGCTTCGGACCTTTTTTTTTTTCTTTTTTTCTTTTTTTAATTCATAAGTATTCCTCTAATGGCGCGCGCATGTAACCGACTGACCCTCGGTCAGTTATATACATTCCCCCATTTTGAGTATTATATTTATACAGGATCTCTCTATATGAAAAACGTAATTGTATTTACAGGTGGTGGTGCGAGTAAAAAGTCGTGCGTCAAATTCAGTCATCACAAAATAAAGTCAGGCAGGTGTTTTAGCGTGTGTGACGGTGTATTATATATATATAATATATAATAGCTAGCTGGTGGTGATGTGACGAAACGAAGGGAGCGTGAGAGATAAGTATCTTGTGTGGCTACTTTGTTAGCTGTGTTGTTGATGACACGATTGCAGATTGGGTGAAAGATGTACAGAGTGAGGGAGAGAGAGGGTGAAAAAAAAAAAAATGAAAAAATGAATGAACGTGGTGCACTGGTATGCAATGCGTACATGTCGCATGAGTTCCCGGACCATTCCGTTCCATTCTCCCGTAACGGGATCCCTGGCCCCGTACTTGCGCTCGGGCGCGAGCTCCAGCTCGTAGGCGAACCCGAGCACGTTGGATATGGCCTCGAGCAGATCGACGCAAAAGCCGTAAAAGCGCGAGTTGCCGGTGTAGTTCTTGCTCTGGTGCATCATCACGTACGGGGTCTCCTGTTGTGTCATCATCCGACATGTATATATTACACATCCAATCGTTAAATCACCCCCCTTTGATTGATTTTACGTGCTTTTATTGCATTGTGACATTAGGTATACACATAAATATGTACCATAGCCTGTGTCGTTGAACGTATACAGCATAATATATTATAAGGCCAACACTGTTGAATCGACGAATGTATAATATAATTATTATGTTAGAAGCGAATAAGCTTGCTTGCGTGGTAGCGTGACGAGAGATTAAAAAAAAAAATAAACAAAAAAAAACATTGTGATTAATTGGACAATAAAACATTGTGATTATAACATCGCATGAGAGACAATCACAGACACTTATGGTATACGTGTACTATACTTAGTGGGTAAGCTGCTGCTGTTGCTGGAGGGTTTTTCCATTTGTTTTGTACTGCAGTTATACGTATTGAACGTGATGTACACACTTTTTCTCTATATTATGCATAATTATACTGGAAGGATTTTTTTTTTTTTTTTTTTTAATCATGAAAATTACATCATCCGCAAAGGATGACCGCAACGAAATGATATTATAACGCGATGCACCGCAAATTCAAGCGGCGAAATTGTATTATTTCACTCGCTCGGAGTTGAGTGTGGTTTTCCGAGGGGACGAGTCGACAATTCGATAAGCACTTGAAATTCGATTTCGCGGGTCCGCGAAAGAGAGGAGGCGGCCGTGTGTACAGCGACACCATGTAATCAACTTACCAAAATGGTGATCACCACTAGGGTGACGTTCGTTGAACCCGGCTCGAAAAAGGCCGGCCTGTCCGTCACGTTGACCCCAACGCCGGGCCGCCACTCTCCCACCTTCGCGGTCGGAGACAGCACATAAGCATCATCGCGGGTAATGTTAAAGAGTGACAAGCAGCGCAACCGGAGGATGAATAAAAATTATACCTTGACCAGGGAGTGCTGCTTGAGCTTGAGCAGGTCGAGCTTGAACTGTATCCGCCGGCCCTCCTTGAACTCGATGGGCCCCGACAGCCCCTTCATCTCCACCTGGAAAATACTCCACGCGGGGTATTATTGTCATCATCATCATCATCACGCTCTTCCCCGTTTATTTGCAAGATAATTGCTGTATTTTCGGTGCTCTCGCAAGTTTTTAAGTATACACTGTCGTGAAAGAGCTCGGGAGCATTAAGATGCAAGTCGGGGCGCGTGGTGCACGGACTCTCGAGAGGAGCTTAAAAAATAGCCCTCCGACTTTTCCGAGAATAAGCCTTTGACCTTATATATACCTTCAGAGGGAGGGAGGGGCGTCGTTTAGGTTTATATGTATACGTGGATTCGTGACTCCCACACAGCGACAAAAATGCGCCTATCGCGTGGGCAGTATATTTATGTTTTCTGATGAATAACCGTCCGTCACCACTATACGGCATATCATATCCCCGAACAATCGGAGCATTGTTGCGTGTACAACCGATCGCCGACGGTCCAAATTTTCATGGAAAAACGGGTGTTTTCCATACACCTGCCTGTAACAATAAAAATAACGGAGGGTGGGGGTACCTATAGTTTTCAACTTCAACTCGGTGTTTATTTGTGCGAGTCTCTAGTGGGTGCTTTGATTCGGAAAAACAAACTCGTGGAAGAGGCAATGCAAACACAAACAGGTGGCTGAATTGATAAAAAAATAAAATAAAAAAATTGGGCACGCAAAGGATGAGTGGGAAAAAAAAGCACATTTAAAAAGTATAGGTAAACTCGTATTCTAATACCTTCATCCACGTAATATATGGATATAACGTAGTCGTAACGTTGGCAAAGCGCATTTAAAAAAAAAAAAGAAAAGAAAACCGATTATCACGAGTTCCCGACAATCTCTTCATTTTTTTTCTCCCCCATCCCCTCGACTTTACCGGCATTGTCTGCAGTTCCGTCCGGCGCAGGAGCACACGCGCATGCACATTTCTCGCGTGCGACGTCGGAATAACAACATCACCCGAGCCAGAACCTGGAGATGGAGGACCAGAGTCGCGCAAACTCGCGGCCGGAGGAGGGAAGATAGGACAGTGCAACTCGAGCGGAAAGGGACGCTGCAACTTCAGCTGCACGCACACATGAATACGTATGCACACACCCACACATGCCAGCCAAAATTGAAACTCGGATTACAACCGAGGACCGTAAATTAGGGGACCACCGGACGAAGGCCTGGCTAAGCTGGAAACTTGCGCCTCCACTGTATCCAACATACATATACATGTACATCGTATAGCTGTCAACTGCGAGATAGCAACTCTATATACATACACGTGCATCTATCTCTTAACGTGATGCATTCTCGTGATTTTTAATTAACAACACACCTACCCCCTAACATTGCATGTGCGAACGCGAGCAGATATCTTTTATTTCCCGCTGCGCTTGTAGCAAATATATAATTATTCGCTGCTCTCTACCGCCTCCTTTTTACCCTGCCTCTTTGTGTTTCTTCTTCCCCGATGTATAGGTATATGTATTTGCTCATCGTTGTAATGAAGTTGGGAGAGCAGCTTCTCTCGGACAATGAATCCTCCTTCGATACAAGGGCGGCAATGCAATTGTTCTCCTTTTTCCGAGAGCTTTGGACCATCGTTTTTTTTCATCTCAACGGAACGAAAGTTTAAAAAGGTCCGCGATGAGTTGTCGCTCGGCTCGCTAATTCACCAGCGAATGTCGGAAACCAAAAAAAAAAAAAAAAAAAAAAGCGCCCACGTGTCGACATGACAGACGGCATCTCGTATGAGACGGTACAGCAGCATATTTCGAGAGCTCCTCGAGACGATCGAAATAGCCCGAGAAAAGAAATGGGTGCGCGTGGTTTATCCCCCTGGAGTATCGACTGCGAGCGGAAAATTTTTACAGCCCGGCGAACTAGCCCCAAACGTGGTCGTCAACGACTCGTGCGGGCTACGAGAGCCACTCGCCCCGAGGTAGTGGTGGTGGCGGGGGATATCGTATACGTATACTTTATGTACTTCCAATGTAGCCCCCGAAAGTAGCGGAGTCAGCAAAAAAACAAAACCACCCCCCTCCCGTGTGTGTTTTCTCGAACTCGCGCGCTTAGCTCGGCGGAAATTCGTTTTTATTCCCCAGCTGGTAAAAGTATACTTACTCGCCGTGGTTGGGGGGCAGGTAGGTAAATATGTCTCATTAGAGCGCGCTGCGAAGATTATGTTACCACGGAAGAGATTATTATGTTGGGCGAAGGAGTGCAGTCGCTGCATTGGCGTTTTTTTTGGGGTCTGATAATTACGTACCCACGCGCCTTGGTTTTTCATCATTTGCCGAGCTAGCATCCACCGCGACCAAGGTATAAAAAAGACAAAAGAACTCGACAGGGTAACAAATTTTGGAGGGATTGTGGCAACGAGAGATGGAATCACGTGCAGTGGTGGCTACCCGCGACGGGTGTCGTTCGCCGCGATAATTAAACAATTTGCGCCCCATCCGAGTTGAAAAGCGACACGCGCCTCTTTGCATGCGTTTTGTACGATCATTTCTCCGATATAGGCGCGCTAGCTCTCGTACCTTTATTGTACATGTATACATACAGAAGCCGAGGATTTTGCGCCTTTCGCGCCAGCGCTCTGTCACGAACGTATACATCTGTACGAGCGCGCGACTAATCTCTTCCCATCATCCTCCCGTAAGCTCCTTTCATCGGGTTTCGTATTAGGCGTATCGGAAAAAAAAAACTTTGCTAGGTGTCCGTAAAAACGAGCCGGACGATTGAATTTTCCATTGTTTTCTTTTTCCCCCCCCCCTATATGTACACGTTAGAGGGGCTCGGGGAGTGAAATATTTTTTAGCGATAAAAACTTTAATCAAGCTCGCACCGTCACCGCTACACGGGCTCAGTTGGCGCGACGCCAGATCTCCTCGGGAGATGTATAATTTACGAGAGGCAAGAGCTCTCCTCGTGTCTTTGCTATCGAGGGTCGATTGGAGTTTGTGGGGGGGGGGGGAGGGGTGCGAGAGCTATCATTGATATACCGTTCGGGCAGGAAGTCGCGGTACTAATGTACACCTATACCACGTATCACTTTTGGGGGGCTGCATCGGCACCATACGCTATATAGATATAGTATAAAATATATAAGAGCGTATAGGCGTAGCGTACCGAGTTGATGTAGTTGATGAGAGATAGTCCTCCGTCCCAGGGATGCTCGAGCTCGCAAGAGATGTTCATCGGCCTGAGGGAGTGCGACTGCTCCAGGGCTCGCAGAGCCACCGCGAATACTTGGACGCTGTCGTACATCAGCGCGGGCTCCGCCTGCAATCGGAACACCACGTGTGGACCAATATAGTGTACAATATATATAAATCATCAGATGTAATTGAAACCACGAAGTATATAGTCATTTGATAAAAGGAGTCGAATGATTTGGAAAATAGATCAAGGGAGTTCTAAAAGGTAATTAAGTTCTTTGAGTCGGTAGTACCTACATGTACAGGGTTGATTCAAGAACGGCTTTGCCCAAAGTGTATTCACAAATACGCGATAGCCAAGAACTTTCTCGGGCATCTTTTTTATCATTTCTCCCGCTATACCTTTGTATACTCGGGGCATTTCAGTTTCGGGCCTCTTGTTTTCTTTTTGATCGGTAACTTTTTCCAACGGCCGGCGCCTATACACCTACCCCCCGGCTTTTCCGTCAAACTACTTTTCTCGAGTTCTTTCTTCCTCTTTTTCCGCCTCGAGGAGGAGAGCTGAGACGAGCCGCCAGTTTGCTCCTTTAGTTTTTTTTTTTTTTTTTTTTTTTTTCTTGCCCCGACTTGCCCCAGCGGTGGGCCGGCTTGCCGTCGAGTAATGGAAAAGTCACGCCAACTCGAGATTCCGGCAAAGCGCTTTGCTGGAATCTCGCAAGGGTACGCTCGCGCGCGCGGGGTGACGATTAAAAATTCGTTGCCCGAATGTGTACAAGAAAAAGTGCTCCTTTGCCCCCCCCCCCCCCCAATCACAAGCAAATAAGCTCGGGGCGAAACTTTCAACCGTTTGTTTACTCCTCCCCCTCCCGTCATCCAAAGGAGGATCGGAGAGGCTCCTTTTCCCTCCTCTCCTCCGGGGAGCAAATTTCCTTTTCCATCTCCCGCAGACTTCCGCGTTTCTCGATTTGCGTGCCTTTCCCCCTCCTTTGTTCCGTCGCTCGCTCGACTTTTCCTTTCTTCTACTCTGGTGCATCTGCCGCTCGCTTAAAAAAAAAAAGGGCAGAGGCTCGCGTCGACCGTAAACAAGCCTCTTGCGCGTGTGGTGTGAAAGGTACCGCTTGCCAGACCCGACTCGCTTCGGAAATCGAATCCTTGAGGCTTCCCCCGGGAGTTGTACGTCGCGTGCTCGGCATCTGCTGCGATTAGGATGAATATTTTTGTTGTCCAAATGACATTGTACAAGTACGTTACCCATATAGCCGATGATGCACTCTGTATAATGAATCGTGCAGATGCGTAAACCGAAAGGAGTCGTGTTGCGAATCGAGCAAACATCGCGAGTGGATTAACAGAGTGAGGGAGGGGGGGATAAAAAAAAGGTGTTACGAGAGTTTGTTGTTTCTCCATAGCAGTTGGGAGCGGACGTGATTTGACAAGGGGCGTCGGTGCGGCGATAATCCATCAGGGATCCGTCGAAACGAGCGCGATTGGAAAGCTGAAGCTTTGGATGCATTTTCCCCCCCCTTTTTTTCTTTATTAAAATCTGTAAGAGTAATTGGTGATTTTTTTTTTTTTTTTTTTTGTTCCTTTTTCAAAGAAAAACACAGAGCTGTAAAGAGTACTCTCCGGCAATTTATTTGAAAAAAAAATCTCGACTCTCGTTTTATATCTCTCCATGAAAAAAAAAAAAAAAAAAGAAAATTCGTTGATTTTGTGCGAGGAGAAAATTATCAGGTACGCCCATATATACATAGTGTAAGTTGAAGGAACGGGAGGATGATGTAGCTGTGGGCAAATTACGCGTGAATTTCACTAATGAACCCATTATATACGCATTCATCAAGTTTTAGGTCGCTGTAGAGCGTATGTATGTATATGTATGTATGCGGTACAAGTATATCTGCCGCGTTGAAAATTTCCAGTCTCCTCTGCACCACTTGGCTAACAAATTGTTATTTAATTTTACACGTAACTAAGATGCAAAATCGCAAATTTTTTTTTCCCCCCCAAGGATCGAGAGCTCGCACGTGGATGATATAGAAAAAAGCGCCAAAACAGCCAAACAGCAGCGAGGAGCACGTACAGGGATAATGTGGTTTAATGGTGCGTGTACAATGGCATGTACATATATATACAGCAGTTCGAGCGTTGCAAGCTCCGAGGGACGGCGTCAACAGGTGCATCGTGTATCCCATGGCGTATTTGGCGCGCACACACATATCCGAGTACGCGAACTTTGTTCCCCGCCATCAATTAGAGAGAAACCAAGGAGAGCCGAAAGTCCCGAGATATACACACTGCACGGCGGAAGAGAGCGGTATATATGCAGTATATACGTAGAGACGCGCTCGTCGGTGGCACAAGTACAATGGCGCGCCCAAGAGACCCCTTCCTCTCGTTATCTCTCTGTTAATTCGAGCGTGTTTTTCATTAGTTCAACCCCTACAAGCAGAGAAGACGTGTACCATCGCCCAATGTTACACCAACTTGGAAGCCGATCTTAATCTCCGGGCGGAGTTTAGCGGCTCTCTTAAATCTCGCCGCGGTATGATCGACTCGCTCCGCTTTCTCATTTTTGTCTTGCAATCGAAACAGCTTTAGTCGACGAAAAAAAAACAAAAAAAAAGTCGAGAACTCGCTCGAAATTGAAAAAAAATGTGCGGAAATTGTCAGCGAATGAGGGGGACTTGGTTTTTTTTCTCTCTGAAAGTCAAAATCCGCATGTAACGTGTGGAACAGGGCGACGAAAATCGGTAAAAACTTCCTAATCCTCAATGCGGTGTCGTGCAGCGTGTATAGGTACAAGAAAGGATATATACACAAACGCAACCGACTATATCGGTAAGCTTTGGTTTTCACGGCACTCCTACATCGAATTATACTTGGCCCGTTATTCAATGCGAAGAATCGTATCTCAAAAGCCTTTTTGGAGCTCCCCCTGTATATACTTGTCTATTTACACCTCGTCAGCGCGAGCGACTCCTGATTGCAATTGTACTATTTCGCGCTTCGATCCGCAGAGTCGACCCTCGACGCGCATGTACGCATCTTTTTTTTTTTTTTTCCTTTTTTGCACACGCGAGCTCGCGTTTAATCTACACGCTGATTTGCAAAAAGCTCATCCCGTACGCATTTTTTTTGCCCCTCGCGTCGGCAACTTGTACACGTATAATATGTGTGTGTGCCCTGCCGGCGTCACGCTGGATTAAACGCTCGAGTGTGTGCACATCGGGCAGACTACGACGACGACGCCACTCTGCCAATCTTATTAAATATACCCTCTACGTGTATACATATATAGTATTTATAGGTACTGCTGCGCTGCTTGGCTGACCGTAAAATTGCAATTGAGCCGTGTATAACGTATAGTGCATTGTATATAGTCGCCGTCGCGCGCTAACGACTCGCAGATTCGTTATAGTTTGTTGCTCCGCTGCGCGTGATGTATGCGCCAAAAAAAAAAAAAAAAAAAATGTTTGTACAATATATCTCCACGTCTACTTGTCGATCGTGATGATAATAATAATAAAAGCTTATTATTTATCATGTAATAAATTTAGCGAGTGGGTAATCACTGTCGCGGAAACTAAAAATATATCCTATGGACCAATTTATTTGATGATGGGATAACGTACAGGCAAAGTATATATCGACGGTTCTTACGAAAAACAACGGAACTCAGATTTTCCCATTTAAAATAACATTGGAATTTCTGAGTTACGTTGTTTTTCGTAAGAGCCGTCGATATTATGTATACCGATAACAACACAATGGTGGTGCACACGCGTGTAAAATATACATATCTTACTCTATAATAAGAGTATGGGTCCTACCTGTATGACGCGAGATTTGTTGAGCAAGTTGTTCCCGTTCTCGCCGTATTTTTCCATGTCCCTGAGTACGTCGCGCACGTCTATGTCGTCCGCGTCCACCAGTCGAAAGGCAGTTATGTTAACAAAGTTGTACTTGAAGTCCTCGAGATCGAACGTTTCGATGTCCTGCGACGATTGAACGATAAAACAACGCACCTTTGTTGCGCCAAAACTTTTTGGATTTGTATTATTATTCTCGCGCATGTACTTACGAAAGTTGTGAACAGGTAATGGTAGTTGTAGTCGTTCATCTGCAGCTCGAGGATCTGCAAATCCCGTTAACACGGTTATTTGCATGCGCAAGTGAAGACACACGTAATATAATACATGGAAATGATGATAAAAGAAAATGTAACAATATTGTGATCTCACCACACGTAGAAAGTGGTGCATGTTCTCTGCCCTCGTGTCGACGATCATGTTGCGTATCTCCTTGGCTTTGATCTCGGACAGCACCTGCCTGTACGAGTTAGGATCGACTTGTCTCAGGTGTACCTCTATGTCCTGTGATTTGCGCGACCTCGCGAGCTCTCGGAGCTTTATTAAACCTGCAAAGTGTGTAATTATAAAAAAAAAAAAAACCAATCCTATTCCCACATACTTGTCTGGGGAGTTTCGCGCGAAGCTAAGTACATTCTCATCAGCAAAAAAAAAAAAAAATCATTATCATTGTGGTGCTCGACCCCATTTTCCCAGAAAGAGGTCGCCGGGACCAGTTTATTTAATATCAGCCTGCCTATTACGTTGGTATAAAAATACCACCGAAATCGGCCGAAATATCGATCATACAATAATATAAGGTCATCCGACTGCAGGTGTGTATGTATATATGCAATAACAAAATACACACGAGGATTTTATTAAAAGGTCGATGAATGACGGGGAGAGAGCGGAGCGCGCTCGAGAGGAGAGGGAGCGTGTCAGCGCGAAACCCGTGAATAGCGACGACCCGATGGAATCAATACCTGCGAGCGTGCCCGAGTAATCACGGTATCATCTCAACTTGGAGGTCTTCGCACTCGGCTCGCTCGGCCGAGCGCCCGCTCCTCCTCTTCTTCTCTTCCCTCTCTTATGCGCTCTCTGCGCGATGCACACCAGCTCTATATTATATATCACACACTTGCCCGTATAATATATATATATATATATATATATACATGGGACGATTTATTGTTACTATTTACGTTTTACTCGTCGTTCGCCTTATCATCCGACATCTCGAGGGGACACTCGGCTGATGGTTTGTCGGTTAGGCGACGCTCCGATACCAATTAACGCTATTAGTTACCAGCCGACACGAACAGGTGAGAAATCAAAACAAACCCCTAAACAACGGGAAGGTACCGCAGGAAGGGGGGGGGGGAAGGAAAGTAACGGAGGTAATCCGGATAATTGCTGCTGCTAGCTCTGGGCTCCAAACGAGACGAATTGGGTCGGCCGGAAGTAGGGTGCCACCTCGAAGAAAGAGGCGATGATTTTTCTCCGACCCCGTGCTGTGGCGTACCTTATGCCTATTGTGTATATATATATACACACGCTCCCGAGGATGTCGTTCGTTCGGGTCCAAAATACTTGCCGCCCTGTTATCTATTTTGGCTACATCTACTGCGCAAGACGGGGGAAGGGCAATCGCGTCCCCGAAGTTTATGGAGAAAATTCAAAAGGGGATGGGTACAGAGGGTTCGTTTCACCGACTCATGCTCTGAACTCTCAGCCCCGAGTCGTATAAAAAAAGGTATAAAATCGTCCGGGTCACCTGTAACTTTTACGACGGAGATTCGGCAAAAGGGTAAATTTTCCATACAAGGGGTTTTGCACGTTTTTTGTTTTACGCTGCCCATTGGGTCCTCGAGATGAAAAACGTACCCTTTCACGCTTTTGTTTGCATTGCCGTGTACGGGGTGGGGGAAGGGGGTAAATATGAAGAAACGCGGAGTGGTGGATCAGTCATACACTTGTTCGAGGGAATTTCAGGACCGAGCGAATACGCATGATAAATCGAATCAACGAAGCGGTAGAGCTGCGCACCTCCATCTCGCCAATCACCTCGCGCGCTCTCCTTTTGGCTTTTATACGACGATGAGCATCGACTTTTTTTTTTTTTTTTTTTTTTTTNAGCCAATAGACATGGGTATACGGCGCACAGCGCAATAATATATATATATAAGCGAGCTTCGAACGAATGTAACCTTACAGCCCCGTATAGTACTAATGTTTTTTTTTTTTTTTATTTTTTTCGCGAGTCGGTGGAAGACGAGGGAACAAACAATAAAAGGGAAAAAAGTTACTATAGTCATCCTCGTAGACGATGGCGACTTTGGTCCAGTTGAGGAAGGCCATGACGTCCTGGTAGGCGGCGTTCAAAAGGCTTTGTGCAGGGTGCAAGTTGATGCTGAACTCCTTGGCCTCGGAGTCCAGGTCCAGCCTGGCCTCCAGGTGCGGTATGTCCAGGGCGTCGCATATACTGTGAATGTGCTGGCCCAGTATTGGATCCGATGGACCGAATATGGCCTGTACGCCGAGTTTCACCTGCTGGCAGGCTGCAAGTAGAACACATTACGTACCTCTTTGTACTTACTATCGTTATACAAGTTTATAGGTATATAATATTATTATTGCCAGGGAGACACACAACCCACGCAGTGTATTGTATGAGGTATACCCGCGCACTTTTGTATACCTTTTTGTTCTCCGCTCATTTTCTCTTCTTCTTCTTCTTCTTCTCCGTCGTCTCGAGCTGTACTTGTATGAATACGGCTGTTTCGCGTTAATTGGTGCCGACGCCAGTAGCAGCGCCACTTTGATTAACGGGAAAATTACGTTCTACTGCGCAATTCTTTAACGATGTTTTTTGTTTTTTTTTTTTTTTCCTCCAAATAAAGGCACTTTTTCGACCATCGATCGCTTGATACATAAGTATTTGTTGAAAATAGCACGGTAATCCCCGTCGATTTGAAAGAAAAAAAAAAAAAAAAAAAAAAAAAAAGAAATGGAAATGCACGCCTGTACATTATTGGAGCGATTCGGTGCTCAGAGGTGACGGTTTATTTTAAGAAACGAAGAGCCGAGCTGTTTTGGCCGATCGATAGTTAAATATTTTCTTCGTTATTGGATGTAGCGAACTATATCCTCGCCTAAAAAAGATATGTTCGGTAACCCATTTTATTCTCGCTAGACCAGAGAAAAGGACGAAGAAAAAAATGGCTGAGCACGAAATAAAGAAGAAAACTCGAAAAAATTTATGATGGACAAACACTTGAGCTCTCGTGCTGCTGAACAAAAGGCAAGATTGAGGTGCGAATGCAGAAACGGACAATCGTATCTTTTTATTCCTAGCCATTTCGAGGAGCTATCCTCTGAAATGTATAGAAGCTCTCCGCGCGCCTCGGCTCGCTCCGTCCAAGCAATTTGATTTCCTTGAATCTCGTCACCCCCTCCCCCCCCCCCGAAAGTTCAACCCTCGAATCAATCGAGCTTGGCTTTGCGGATGAGCATCTCCTCTCTTGCGCACAAAGAACTATTTCGGCTTTGGCCACGTTGGAATCCTTCAAAGGCCCATTAGGTGTACTCGGCGATCGATGGCTTTATATACGCTGTTGACGGCGAATCCATGGGAAGATCAAGCGCAAGGGATTAAGTTTTGTTTTATTTGGTCAATTGGTGCATGCACCGAAGCCAATGAGACACTCTCTCAGGGGGAAAACCTTAAATGAGAAACTCTCTTTCCGGCTTTTTTTCCCTCCACAAACTTGGATTAGATGCGACGGAGAAAGGATTCGTTTGATATTCAGTTAATTCTTTGGCTGCAAACGCGATAGGAAAAACCGATTCGTTCGGCGCTGTCGATAGCGAAACACGTATATGGATACAGAGAGGATCAGAGAGAGAGAGAGAAAGGAACTAAATCCTGAAAGTAAAGCGACTCGTATGCAATTTCGATAAAGCCATTTATACATCGAGAGCTCTGTCTATTTGTGTGCTGCTCCCCCCTCCCCCAAAAAAGGGAAGCTGAGCTAATTGGAACAATTATTGATCCATCCGCATGCGTCTCGAGTCGGGCAGTAGAAAAAAAGGGGGTAGGTACTTGGATATTAATTTCAAAATTACCTTTTTTGGACGCATGAAACGAATCGTCCTTAGGCACGTATTGGATGTCGTAAATCAAAGTTGTGTTTGGCAGTATACTTTTGTCTTTGTTTATCTTGTGTACGGCGTACTTGAAGGCCAGCTCAGTGCTGCTATTTTGGTCATGAGTGAAAATGGCACCTGCGAACAAATTGCAATTTTTTTTTTTTTCTGCATGTTAAAAGAAAATACATGAGTAAAAGTAAATTCAATAAACATTTATCATTAAAATAACTCGTCGAGTAATTTAGTGACCATTCAAATGATTTTGGGAGACGTATTTCTGCATAACAGATGAAGTTTCGTTGTTACATTTGAAACTATAACTTCAGTGTAATCATATTAAAAAAAAAAAGAGAAAAAAAAAATTATTTAGAGAAATGCTGATTGTGAGAAGCCAAAGGGTTATGGTTTGTATAAAAAGAGCAGAGATCAAAAAGACGAAAGTGAAAGACGAAGCCGCAAGTAGTTCAAGCTCACTTTGCATACACGTGTAACGCGATGAATTGAAAACACGGTATCATATACATGCAAGACCATTTCCTATGCTGCTACGGAATTTCGGTTGCTTTGATTTGCAGGTAAGGACGGGAGGAAGCTTCTTTCACGCAGAAAGGCGTCTTCCCGAGATAAAGACACCCAACGGCCGGAGGCGATACCTCAGTTGTATACACAAAGGCTTGAAAAAAAAAAAAAAAAAATCACTCATGGCCCGTACGTGGTCCCGAAAAAGCAGGTACTCGATCCGTGCGTTGAAACGCTGCCGGCTGTATACCGAGCGAAAAATAAGATGTGTACCAGAGGGGTATACCCGACACAGGAGCACTGGCGACACCTCCGTTTGACGCTACGTATACCGCGAGATGCCTCGAGACTCTTGGCGATTAAGGTCACCCTGTGTGTCGATCCGTCTTTGTCTTTTTTTTTTCCCCTTGCCACACATCAAGGCGAAACACTCGGGCGTGCTCACATCGAAACTTGGATCGCTCGAGCCTTTTAAATAAATAATTTGTAAATTTTGCATGCGTATAATGGGGTAGTCCGCGAAACAATTTTACGCTCCGAATGGGTATTTGAACGACCGGCTACAGGGGAACAAAAGATAAAACGAAAGAAAGAAAGAAAAAAAAGTATTTAGTGCACGTCCTGGCTTTGCTCGGAGGGGTCTGGCCATCCAGAAAACGTTTAGGGATCGCTGCAACACATGCCCAGACCGTCACTTTTTTACTCCTGCAAGCCCTTGTCTTTTTTTTTCACTCTAAGTGCAGGTAAGTAATTCACTTGGCTCCGTTTAGCTGTCGGTGATGCTTTTTCTCTCGTATCTATACTTGGGGCACGCGTCTTCGCTACGAACCTACTCACACGATTGATGTGTTTCACACGACTATATACATTTTGTTTTTTTTTTTTTTTTTTTTTTTTTTATAAAATTTTGATTTTCAATGATGCGGAAACTCATGTGGTTTAATCGAGTACAGCACAAAATTGTTATTCCAAAAAACCGGCATTACAAATAAAAATAGGGATGAAAAAAAAAAGAAATGATAAAACAAGTGGTATTCTTCTCGTCTTCCAAATGGGCCGTTCATTACACCAGGTTGGTATAGGGTTACGGGATACAGCGATTTTTTCATCTATAGCACGAACAACCTACGCGTGTGGTTCTTTTACATCAGTATCCGCGCGTACAATCATTTGCAACAAGCCCCCATGGGCTCTCGAGTTTCGGGCAATAGGTGCATTGCGGTGAGATTTTTACGCCAAAGGGTTGGTAAGTCAATCCTCGAGCTCGTTTCACGTTTTACACAATACTTATCGTACAGAGGCACGCGCGTTTATCAGCCAATAGACATGGGTATACGGCGCACAGCGCAATAATATATATATATAAGCGAGCTTCGAACGAATGTAACCTTACAGCCCCGTATAGTACTAATGTATAATATATATATAAGCAAAAGCTCACGCGAACACGGGCCCGGAAAGGGCGCAATCACCACCATATATGCATACGCATACGGGTGGACGAGTGTGGGTGAATCTCGCTCGTGTATATATATATATATATTATATATTATAGACGCGTGGGTGTGCAGAATAGAAATCCGTCCGGGGGTCCAGGGTTAGATAGGCGAAGCCCTCGTGTGCAATCGCATTACTGGCCCTGCCCCGTTGTACATATACAGCTCCGGGCAACGATGTGTATATATTATGTATATGTATCGTTATATCCCTCTCTATTTTCTTCCCTTCCATTATACAGCCTCGGTGGCAGTTGACGCTGCTGGCAGTGCTGGCACTCCGTCAACTTCCCTCGAGCCCAAGGCTCCGTGGTTTAAATATCGAGTCGGTGTTATTGGGTCAGGATGTTCGAGTTTATATCGCCCATCGTTGACGAACTCGCGTTTTTTGCGAAAGGCTCTCTCGACTCGCGGTATTTTACGCCGGGGCACCTTGGCAGTTTGCGGGAAATATATATATATATGACGGGTGGACAAGAATTTTCTACCCTACGCTCGCATTAAAACTGAATAAAGAAGGAGGAGGAGGGAACGATAATTGGCTCAATAAGTGCACGAAAGCGAGGTGGGGGGAATGGAGGAAAAATAGCCTCGTGAAAATAGGGGCGAGGGGGGGGAGTTGGAAATAAGAGCGGAGCAGAAGCCATCGGAGAAATTAAGGAAATGTGATGGCTGCGCGGAGGGAAAGAGAGAGCATTAGGGGGGGGGGATGGGGTAAAAGGTTCACGTAGTAGTCCGGGATGGCGGAGAAGGCAATGCAGCGTAAGGGAGAGAGTCGTAATAACGCTGGTGAAAGGAGGACGCTCTTCTTCTTCGCTTCGTCTTAGCATCCATTGGGTGGAAACAGTATATATCTCTGCATGATGGGTGTCTACGGGAAATCGCGTCTTTTGGCGACTAAATGTGTCTCTCGTGTTTGCGTGTGTATAGGCGCACTCGATGGATTCGTCGCTCCCATTATAGGATCACGTTTGTTTGCTTCGAGATAAGACGCTTCCCCAAAAAAAGTTTTTATATACGAAGAACATACGGAGGTTCGGGGGTGTGTCGATCGATCACGACCATGAAATACACACACTCATATATATACCTCGGACAACTTTTTGGGGGATCGGATAAATGAACCTCGCTGGGATTGCAACGCCGAAAAATACTCCGTATACTTTCACGTTTTACGCGTGCGTCTGTCGAGAGAAAAATCCTGATCCGTGTAAGCTCGGTACTCAGTTTTTCTCCGAAAGCATACCTGCTCCCTCAGCTACTAGTAGGTACTATTCGGCAAAGCGTTTGAATTTTAATTTGCTTGTTTCCCTCGATTAACTGATGCGTATATCTGACGCTCGGTATAGCGTATACGTGTGTATAACGACAGAAGGGAGCGTTATTTTTTTTCCAACGCGCGAAAAGTATATGTACGTGCAGAAAGCTGTTGGTTGCTCGCGGTAGTAAAAAGTTTTAAAAGGGCGCTGAATTTATTATCATCTCTCGAGTAGAGCCGCGGGTCGTCAAGAGCACTCTCTTTCCTTTTCTTAAATGCCAGTTGCGGTCCGCGACTTAATTCCTTCCGCAAAATTAACTAAACCCTCTCTACTATGAAGGGGGAAAAAGTGGAATGTCCGAAAAACAAAATAATAATAATTTTTTCTCATCCCTCAGAATCGCAGCGATGGAACGTTTCAATGGCGTTGCGTGCGAAACAATGTAAAAGTTTATCGAGCCTGCAAAACTATCTCGGCTTTGCACGCTTTGGCGTCGGAGCGATTGGCGCGGCGTGCGATAATTTTCAATTTGACGAATAAATGGGCATATATACGTGTGTGGCCATCATCGCAGCCTCCCATCGAATCGTCAACTACAATTTCCTCGTTAATTGCGTTTCTCGGGGAGGTCCACCGTTAATTACGAATCAGCCGTAGGATTAACCGGCAAGAGTGTAAATCGAAATCGCTCGGCGGTCGATGGAAATCTCGCGCATATACACACGAGCATAAATGTCGAGGGCCATTGGCATGTGCTCCAAAAGTGCACTTCTGTTTTGATATATATGACCATTGGCCTACAAAATATATCATCTGTATGCACAAATAACCAGACATGAGATCTCGGCTCTTGTACGTGATGTGTTGAAGGTGTTGAAGGTATTTTTAGTATAGTGGGGCACTATATTATGTATTAGTCACAAAAAAAAAAAAAAAAAAAAAAAAATACATGATATTGACTTGTGATACCTGCGAGCCAAAAAATATATCGCAGAACAAGAAACAGGGTAAATCCTCAGCAAAGCTCATCGCATATTTTAAAGTTTAATTTAATACTCGCACTGTTAGACTTTTAATGCAATCGCTTGTTTTGTTCCCAACAAATAAACAAATGCTTTGGTATAAGAGCGGAGAGGTTTGAACATATTATAACGTATACGTACCAATTTTGATGGTGGGCGGCAGAGCGCGTACACCGGGGCATCCGAGCTGGTGGAGCGCCAGTAGGCATACGGATAGTAAGGCGGCCAGTGCGGAGCCCGAGTTCCCCTTCATAGCTCATCTCGGAGGCCTATGTGTACTATCGGAAGCTCGAGCGCCAGCTTGACCGCCCCTATGTCTCCTCGTCCTCTATATATGCGACGGCCGCTCGCGCTACACCAATCTGCAACCGGATGACGAATTATTTTTTGCCGGTATAGGATTTGCTGGCCGCCATTATCTCGCTATTGTATACGTAAGCACAATGTACTCAAAGTTTGTGCGTTTGTGCTTTCGATCGAGCCCCTCTTTCCGCGATGGCGAGAGCTCGTACGCGTGTATACACGCGTACAATGACTCCATGGCCCGTGATTTACCAGGCAGTAAAAATTTCTCAAGCGGTCCTTTTGAAAAGTTATTGCCCGTACGGCTCGACTGTTGCGCAGTTATGACGCCATTTAGGGCCGTATATTTATGGGATCGGCGATTTTCAACTTTCCCCTGCGCTCGGACGGACACGCGAGCTTGTCGCTGCAATTACTTTTGCACACGCGGATAAATCACAAATGGAAAGGAGGTCGGGAAAAAAGAAAGGAAGAAAAAAACAAATTTCCAACTCCTCAAATTGAGCATCTTAAATCTCCACGGGGAGCAACGATAATCCGCAAGCTCCGTCTGGCCGTGTATGAATAAGGTATATATACGGTCACGAGGGAGCCGGGCGCGCTATCGTGTTACCCACACGGGGAAAAGGGTCTTTTGCGCCTTGCACCGGGACGACACGATGCACGCGGCCGACCTGTATATAATATATACACCTATACTTACGGTGAAAAGGTGCTGGATACGTGCATCGAGAGGAGGCGCTTTGAGAGAGAGAGAGTAGAAGAAAAAAGGGGGCCACGACGGTGTCGTCGACCTCACCGCCCCTCTTGTGCAGTATCTCGGGGGTAAGCAAAGTATCAGTTATGAACGAGCCCATTAACCGCATCCCTTTCAAAATCTGCTCTCCGGAGCGATGTGCCGATGAAAAATCCTCCACCCCCGCTGGGAGTAGCTGTATGGAAAATGAGAGCTCGCCCCGTTAACAAGCGCTTTATCCGCGGAAGCTACGATTTTCTTTACTTTTTTTCGTCGGAAATTGTAATCGTAAACATATTTATGTGTATACGGAGGAAAAATCGAGTCCTCGAGGGTACAGTTGACCCCCCCTTTTTTTTCTCCTGCAGGCAAATTTTATTGTCAAAAGAGATCGCTCGTACTTATCGAGACAGCGAGGCTCAACGAAAAGCCTCCTCATCCTCCCCTACCGGAGCTTTTCTACCTTTTTTTTTTTTTTTTTTTTCCTCGTTTCGCAGCGCGCACCAGCGTTATCGCTTATACTCTACTTACGTATATATACTGCAGTGGGAAATAATGTATCCGTGAATTAGAAAGTAAAAAGAAGCCGCTACATTTTATTTACTATAGTTAATTGTTCAGGCAACTTTGTACATCATCATTGATGTTTTCGCGGTATCACTGAGCGACCCAATTCCCTCGAATCAAAGAAAATTTCTTTACCCTCATTCCGTTAAATATTTTCTTATGAGTAAAAAAATATAAGTTAATTGAAAATAATATTTTATTAAATCAAAATTTTCTTTTTTTAATTACGAATTTCTCATTTAGTTGTACGAAATGTTTTTTTGGATCGACTAAATTTGTTTCAATTAAAAGAAAATATTTAACGGAATGAGGGTAAAGAAATTTTTTTTGATTCAAAGAATTGGGTCGCTCAGTTATATGTATTCCTTAAAGTTGAAGCGTTTCTTGAGTGCCATCAACCAAAAAGTTACTCGACCGACAACAACGGACGACTATTTGATAATAATAATAATAATAAAAAGGCCATTTGAAATAATAACAATAATAAGGATGATAAAAGTTATAATTAGTATATAATTGTGGCAGTTGGCAACCCACCTGCGTCGATCGGCACGGTAACAGCCCCTCGCGGGCCGGGCAGGTGGCATAACAGCTGATGCACCGGGAAGGGACTCGGTGGGGGGTGGCAGCCGACTGTATACGTATATAGCGCCTCCTCCACCACCAACTGCCGTATAATGTATAGTCGCGTTGCGAGAAAGAGAAGTAAAATGGCTTAGATCACGCGGGTATACCTGCGCGGGCTGGCTCGTCGTCCAGACCTGCCGTGGCAGCGGCCGGCATGCAACTACTCGCGCTCGTAGGCTCCCGGCGCCCGAGGGGGGTGGGTGGCGCTGATGCCTGGCGCGCTCCTCTTCCGCCTCTTCTTCTTCTTCTACTTTATACATATGTTAAACACCCAACCGTGTGTCCCTCTCTGTGTATGTGGGCGTATACGGGCGGCTCGAGGGGGAACACGTGCTCCTCGCCGTGGTGATACAGCTGATGACGGGCGCAGGCGCGACACGTGCTCGTTGAAAGTATTTAAGGGTAGTTCTCTCATGACGCACATAGCCTACATAGCTGCCATCGGAGTCCCAAGCTCTCGGCTATATACCAACCATATACCATACGCATAATTATACATCTACATACTTAATGGGCTCGATTTAGGGGGAGTCGAGTGCAATGCAACCTTATCAAATATACTCTAAATATACTCTTGCCCTCATGATTAGTCGGTGTGTGTGTTTAATTTATCCATTTGGGCAATTTTTTTAGAATTTTTTGTTAGCGAGTGTAAGTACTTGTAGAGCAAAAAAGAAAAAGTTTCGCGTGAAAGTGATACCCCTCTCGGAGCCAAATGAGGGTACAGCGTTGCGAAAGATTTATCCGTTTTTACAGTACACCTGTAATCTACCCGCGCGAGCTCGCGGGTACATTTCACCCTCGTAAAAGATTATACGCAAAGCTACGCATCTTCTGCGCCGAGGCTTTATTAAAAAATAGTCCCCAACCTGTGGTATGAACATCATTAATATTAATACGCCGAAAATTTGAATGTATACACCCGTGTCGAAGCACCGGCCGCAACGAGGAGGAATATCGATGAGGGTCAACGCACTCGTGAAATTTACGTGAGTTTGAAATTAAATTGCCCTCCCGCGCACTCTTTTTTTTTTTTTTTTTTTTTAGATCTTGGCTTTCGTAAAACACGATTAAAAACTTTACAACTCCACGGGGCCGTGGGTTATTCTCCAGCGGGGAAAAAGGGAATAGGGCTCAATTTCAAATTTACACGGTCGGGCAAAATTTATACGCACCAAAAAGGGAATACGTATAACAACTCCGCGTACTTCGGGGTACATGTATACATAGCCGACGTTTCAGGAGTTGGGGTGTGTAACTTTCGTCGAAATCGCATCGAGAGGAGCTTAATCGGGTGAAAAACGTAATTCGGGCCTGTTTGAATAGCCAACGAGGATGTGGGCCGAACTAGATTATTATATGCTACGGGTGCATAATTATATACCTATACGTATGAGAATGGGACTGGGGAGGGAAAAAAAAAAAAAAAAAAAAAAAAAAAAAAAAGTGTACGTAGGTATGCACAGTCGCGGTGCACAGGTATAAGCACCCCGCCGCCTTGTGTTTGTAACTCTATAGCTAAAAAAAAGAAAAAAGGAACGAGGTTAGAGGATGAGAGGTAGGGGTTTGAAAATTCAAAGAGGGCGACGTCGCGGTACTATATACCTGTGTGCGACGTATCGAGAGGGCACTGAAGCCTCCAAGTCGAGGAGGAGTCGAGCTCAGCCTCGGCTTATTAATTAAACTGAAATTCCACGATGGCACCTATACACCCAGCCGCATCTGTTTTTCCTTGCCTCAGCTTCTTTCGGGACTATATATAATAATACATTGTATGTACACATACCTATACTGCTGAAAAACACAAGTAAAACATTGATCGCGCATCGAGGACGAGAGAGTGAAAAAATTTACAGTATATAAATGCAGCGGTGGTAGTAAGTTACGGGTGTCACGCGCCTCGGACCCGAGACAACAGATAGATAGCGGTCACGCCTCCGCGTCGCGTGTCTCCATCTTATCGGGTGCGCTCTCGAGGAGAGAAAAGAATAATCTCCCTCCATTCAATTTTCATATGCTGATACGTACAACATATACGTGCACTCTCGAGCTCCGGGAACAAGGGGCTGTCGCAATGTTAGAGAGAGAGACGCAGATTTGGAATTCGCTGTACCCAGCGATGGCGAATATTTTAATCGCTACTCCCGCCCCTGTAAATTCACTCTCGTTTCAATTAGCTCGGACACGCTCGACAGCTCTTTTGTTCTCCGCGCGTCGAGTTCTCTTTCTTTTATCCCCACCCCCCCCCCTACCCCCGCCTCTAACTCATTACAATTCCTCGAACAAATTACTCGTTGCTGCCGCTCGGCTGATGTATCAACTCCGAGCGGAGGGTATTGTTTGGGCAACCACGATAGAAATTTCCTTTTTTTTCCACCTATCGAATTATTAACTCGTTAGGACATTGACGCATTCCCCGTGGAAACTCGTTTCTTTGTCGTTCATTATCGATACACTGGCCGACCGCGTATTTTTTTTCCCTCCCTCTTCTTCTTCTCCCTCGACCGCAGTAAGTGTGGACGTGTGTGATTATATCACTATATATTCATGTATACCTCGGCGAAAACTTTGTTTTTTTTTTTTTTTTTTTCACGGTATAAATTCTTATCTGTGCACGAGTTACATTGATTGCAAAAAGAGAAAAATATCTCGTATCCTCCCCAACTCGGATTTGTCGTCGCGGTACACAGTATTATCGCATTTCTCGTGTAATCAAAAGAGGGTACACCTATACATACAGATTTTTGTTCACGAGTCGAGGACATAATGTACACCTCCCTTAAAAAGTGTTAATGATGCGTTCGCGGGGGCGCCTTTCCCTCGCTCCGCTTGGCAGTGCTCGCTCGATCGTTTTATTCCCTCTCTCGTTTGAATAGCCTCCATATACACAGCGAGAGGAGCCTTCCAAGTCTCGTAAAACTTTTTGCCCCCGTCGTCATCGTCGCATTATATACCAACTCTGCCACTTGACCCCCGCCCTCTTTGTCATTTTTATCACACGAAATTTTCCATACAGGCGGGGAAAAAGTTTAATAGAGGGTACAGAGGTGGTCAATCGCACGAGTTTATAACACGATATTCGCGAGCCGTAAGAGGAATAAACGATACATAAACGACTCGTTAATTGGCTGGCATTATTTTACCCCCCCCCCCGGCGACTCTGCGGAAAAACTTTCCCATTTACGCCCCGTGCAAATGGAGCGCCGGAGTGACTCTCGAGAGAGCGTCGGCACTTGCATATTATAAGCAGTCCTCGGAGAGATGAGAGTGCGCTGCATCTCAAGTGACCTTTTACCGCAGCCGCCGTGTAGTTTGGGCGGCCGTGTAAAAGCTCCCCTGCCGCGAACAACTTATACATCAGGAGCGGAGAGAAGGACTCGAGGACGGAGGATGAATATATATATACGTACACGGCAAGTTGGTCCGACTCCGCGCATCATTCCTCCCCTTTGCTCTTATACCTATGATGTATCATTTAGGCTTCGGTGCACGTACTGCTTCCGCGTGTATACGCACAAAATCTCGCTGGTGCTCTTATATAAACATCATACACTTGTACGCCTGGTTTTATCGTCTCAACAAGGGAGGATATATACTTGAGGATTAAGAAAACCACATGGGGAGGCAGGACAAAAGACCATTTAATAAACACAAACGAAACGACATAATCCCTGATGAACAATCCAAACGATGATTCAACACCGACGTATCCCTGTTTTCGAAGTGACGGTCACATCCATCTCTGTTGTTTGCTGCCACGATGAGCGATCGGTGATTGCCCCAAGGAGTCGGATTTCGATGAAAGCTCCCGCGTCCCCTCGAACCTGATGGCACAAAGAGCACGCGTCATCCACCCGAATGCGTATAGGCTGCAATATATCTAGAGATTGTGCTCACCTTGAGTACACACTAGCAATTGAGGCACGCGGAGCCGGGGTACCAGAACTTCTTGGCCTGCACGTAATTGGAGGAGGAGGAGGAGGCGGCGGAGGAGCTGCTACTACTGCTACTCCCGACGCCGATGGGCACGAGAGGTCCCCCCAGATGGAGGGGCCGGAGGAGGCTGATGACCGGAGGCCCGGAGACGGTGATGACCGGCCGGCCGTGAGCCGAGCCAAAGTGGACGGGCCCGTAGTGCGAGGCCGCCCGGGCCACCGCCTCCACGGCCGCCGAGGTGCTGATGCCATTGCCCGTCGGCTCGCAAATCACCCGGTGCCCGTGGTGGACTATCGGCTCCCGTACCACCTCTGCCCCTGTCATCGTACACGATTACGTTGTGTATGGGCAACAAACAATATGTGTATATACATATATTATGCGTACCTTTGACGTAGACGGTCTGCCGGGGCGGCTGGACGATGAGGTTGTGCGAGTGCGCGTGGGCCTCGGCGTGCGCGTGAGCCTCGGCGTGGGCGTGTGCTTCCTCAAAGCCGGACGAGGGCCCGACCACCCTGGCTCCCCCGTTAGACGGCCCGATAATCGTCGCCCTGCCCACCGATGGCCCGATTATGGTCGTCCCGCCGTTGGACGAGCTGATGATCCTGCCCGCTCCCTCCGACGGGCCCACTATGGTCGCTACGCAAAACCCAACCACTTTGTGTTTCGTTGCTTGAGGAAGAGAGGGGGGGGGGGAAATGTATGGGTGGCCAACCTGCACCCGAAGATGGTCCGACAATGGTAGCTGCCCCGGTCGAAGGTCCGATTATCGTGGCCGGGCCCGAGGATGGTCCCACTACGGTGGCCGAGCCCTGTTGGGGTCCCTGCACCAGCACCTCGCCGGTGGACGGGCCGATGACCGCGGACGCGCCCTGCTGGGGTCCCTGCACCAACGTCGGGCCCTCCACCGGGCCCAGCACAACTGCGAGCAACGACAGTTTACATACGCGATGGTTCATCGATTGATTTCTTTTTTTAAACTTGTGTTTAAAGTTCCGACCAAGTTTCACTCTGTCTCAAGAAAAAACTTTTTAAAAATTTTTTCTGAACAAGAGCAAAAAAACTTAAACTTGATTTTTTTTTAAGCGGGTATATAGCCTAAGATGATAGAGCCCACCTTGAGCCGGAAAGTCGGGCACGATGATGGGGTTGGCGGCGAGGCTGTACTTTGGCCCGTACTCCCGGTACACGGCACCCGTCGTCGGATCGTGGTACGGCCAAATGCTCGCTCGTGCCCCGGCCACCAGCCAACTCGACACCACCAGCTGCTTACACATATTGTCAGAGCGCAAAGTTATAGGTTTTTTCGGTTACACGTGTCAGAGTCGTATACATCTTATACGTGTAAGCGATTGGCGCCAGTCTACCCGGGCCTGGGCTAGCGATCGCGAAACGCCAAAGTTTTTGCTCAGGGGGAAGGGGGACTTTGATTTATCTCGACCGCTTTGCCATACAACGCGAACGGGCTGTTATCGGTTCAAATTGGATTTGCGCCCGCACTTACCTTGTTTGACCGAGCGAGTTTTTTTTTTTTCCCCCGCGGTAAATGAAAAGTCGATGCGAACAAAGTTCCGAGACGGATGGAAATCGCGATATACGTGTACACAAAACCAACAAAAACTATATGTGTTGTTAATACAAAGAGAGAGAGAGAGAGATGTTTGCTCACGCGCACAATGGATGAGGTGTATTATTTTGTAACGCGCCGACACCCATGCAGAGACGGGGGCACACAATAGCAACGGCGGAATGGCGTGCGAATATGTGAGGCGCGACCGCGAAAGTCTTGGTAACTCGGCTAGTGGGTATATACGCGCACGTATACGACATATAGTATTATGACCGGTCCCCTACCCTCGACGATGATTTTCGCGGGGAATGCACATGGGCGTCCCTGTGCATAACTCGGCTGGGCGCGCGGACGTGCCGCGAATACGTTTGTTGGAGAAAAAAAAAAAAAAAAAAAAAAAAAAAAAAGGTGTGTATATACCTTATGGAAGATAATAGACCTATACGCCCCCGCGCAAGGGCGTGGGTGACTCGCGTTTCTTTCTTTCTTTTTTCATTCTCATTTTCCACGCGCAAACACACTCGAGTTGGTGTTCTTTATCACATGTTGTATCGTAAATCTTGGGATTTTTTTTTTTTTTTTTTTTTCTTGCTCCCGTGAGGTGTGTATATACAGCACCGAGAAAAATCCAGTTGACCGTATGTTATACAAGCGCACCGGCAAAGATTCTTTTTCAAATCTCAGCCGGTCATTGTACTCGAGTGCGCTGTGTACGGGGGATGTAAATAAAAATATTAAATAAAATTGAAAAAAAAAAAACGAAATTAGTTGCGATGCGAAAATGTGTCTCGTTTTCTCATCTCACACCCGCACTGATAACAGACCGTTGCTTCACCACTGTTCGGAATCTTTGGCAGTTGTTGAAAGATCACTGAGCACTATTGGGAAGGATGGACGATTGATGATGAAAAAAAAAAAAAAAAAAAAAAAAAAGTCTCCGATCACAAATCAACCCTTACCAGAAGAATCATGACGTTATCGAAAACCACTTGCGGCGACTGTAAGGTGTATATAAATCAAGTATACGTGTCGAGAAAAACTCGTTGAGCAAATACAATGTGAAGGAACGATGGGTAGAAAATTTCGTTAGCCGCGCATGATATTCCAAAGACTGAAAGGCTGCCCGATGAATTTATTGTTTTTATAGACGAGCACAACAGCAACGACAATGACAGGCGGCAAGAAAGGTATATCTTCACGAGGTGTAACCACGCCTCGTCAGATCTGACGCATAGACATCATCGGAAACGAGGATGGCTGATGCCGTGTGTTCCTAATGAACGAGGAGATGGCTGCCGTGTATATACATGTATCTTTCTCCTTACGCCCACTGGCGTCCCATCCGATGGCTCTATCCTCCGCGGTGCAACTCCCTGCCAGTGCTTATACCCGCCCGTTAATTACCATTTTTGCGTGGAATATACAATACCACGCATATTGCACGCGGACCTATGCAGCACCTGAATCGGTTAATTATGTTACCGTGCCCGTGCACTTGGTGTACGAGAGAGACAGTGGTATATACCGTTTTGGCTGTTTATAGAGCGAGAAGGTAGGAGGGGAGAAATAAAAAAGAAAAAACTCCCTGGACGTCCTTCCTGCTCATGCTTTATTAAAAGTGACTTTGCAAGATCAAGCCCACGCGCCAGTGCACGCTTATGGCTCGGCTGCTACTTGCTCAGGCCATGGGAATTTTCATGGGCGTATTCAACCTTGCCGGCTCTGATGTCGGCCTGTATAGCGTCAGTTTCTTCTAATACGCGTTACTTTACATGTGTGTGGCCCCAAAAAGAGAGACTTGTTTATTATGTCAATCAATCAGTTTGGCCTTCGATATTATTTTTTCACTGCTCTACGATACCACGCGATTTGCTCATTTTTACAAACACGCGCGTAATTAATACCTATTTAAAATAATTTCTGATTAGAGGGCCATCCTTGCGTATAAGTGGTCAACAAGCGCCAATTTGTGCATATAGTTGAGAGACGGATAAACAAGGGTTATACACAACAAACAGCTCGACAATCGACTTTGGCGTACAGTACACATCATAATATACCTACCTACACAATGGGTTATTCCCGCGATTACGTATATATTTGCCATCAGCTTCCTCCTCCGCGGCGGCCAAGAAAGGTCTTGTCACGGTCCATACGTGTATACCTACATAAATGCATGTAGATCGAGAACAACCAGGCAATTCATATGCATGCACTCGTGTCCCCGTATTGTGTATGGGTGTGTAGGTGTGCGCAAGTATATGGTCGCAGGGGGGAGGGGATATACACAACAGAGCCTTGCCTATAAATAAATCGAACACCGAACAGCACTTAGCGCTCTTTTCATTTGCATGTGTGTTATACGTTGGCTCTATTGTGCTCGCAATGTGTCGAATGTCGATAAATTTTGTACTTTTCATGCATCAGCTAATCTTTGCATTACTTACTACTAAGAGTGATTAGATACCTTCTCGGGCGGTTTCCCCCCCCCCCCTAATTGGTATGCATAATATGTACACGCAAAAGGTTTAGGGAGTGTGAGATAAACGCTCCGTGTATATACAAGTTGCCAGACTAACTCAAGTTGTTTTCATACATCAAAATTGGGACATTCTTGCTGTGTCTTCATACAAGGATGTGTTACGGTTTGCAATCGGAGAGGTTTCGTCGAAGGGTAGCTATAAATACTTTCCAAGTCTCGTTGTGTATTGCACACTTTTCTCGACAATGTCATCCTTGCGCTTTTAAGAGGTTTAAGTTTATGGAAAAACTATTTTAGGACAAAAACGAAACTTTTTTCTCCCGCGTAGCACATTATACTTGGTGTACATATATATAATGTATGTAGTGATCTAATTTTTTTTCCTAGCGATAAATGCACCAGTCCACCCATCAATGAAAAATTTTTGCAATTATTTTGTCGACAATTAATACATTTTAATCATCACAAAGGGATGAATTAAGAGGAATAGCTTAACATGCCCCGAAAACAGAGTTAAGTCGAGGAAATGAAGTGCAAGGGTATTAAAATATTTATAGATGCATATTGAAATTGGTATGCCATTTATTATATGTATAAAAAAAAAAGTTACAAAAAACGATACACGTGTTGATTTAAAAATTGCAAATGTGTGCGTGATTGTATACATGTGCAAGTTTAGCTGTATGCGATGGCTCGTTTTTTGTTTGTTGTTTTTTTCTCTTTTTGTTTACATTATGCTGATGTTTGTACAAGATGATGATAATAGTAATAATAATAATAATAATAAACAAGGGGTGAAAGGTCCGACAGTCGGCGGAGAGTCAACGGGGGCGGTGTGGCTCAAGGGCGGTCGCAAATGATGACTGGTTGATCGGTTGGAGATCGTCGGGCCGATCGCCGGCTAACCGCCCGGAGAGTATTATGTACTGCAGGATGGTGCTCAGGGAGCTTTGCTGTACTCCCCTACTCTGCTGCTGGTCTCGCTGCTCGATACGAGTGGGTGGGCCGTTTACCAGGGGTAACCTGGGGCGAGGAGACCGTGTCCGGCGTTTATGTATCCGGATGGGCCGGCAATCAGGGCACCGGGGGCAATGGGTCCGGCGAGGTGGGCGGGTCCAACGATGGGTCCAGCGAGGACGGCACCGTGACCTACAAATGCGACCATTTGCGTTACTATTGCCCTTTTTTAAATATCACATTCAACATGGAAAACAACGTAAAATCCATTCAGTTTTTGGACCCAATTTCACAATTTAGTAACAAAGTTCTTTTATTGTTAATCATCAAACTTATAAGAAAAAGAAAAGAAAAGAAAAGAAAAGAACTTGGAGCTGCACATTTTGCAACCGCACGCGGTGGGCGTTGGTGCATATGGTATACTGACCGAAGGCGGGAACGCCGAGGTATCCAGCGTGGGGTCCTCCGAGAACGGCGGTTCCAGCGCTAACCGATCCGTGGACAGCCGATGGTCCGGCAACGGCGCCAGTGACGACCGCGCCCAGGTCAACAGCACCAGAGATACGGGCGGGTCCCACAACTGGTCCAGCCAGGGCCGAGGGGCCGTTGGATCTTTGGAGCAAATGCAATTACGTTAAAACTCCCCATTGGTGGGAAATCGATCGATAACTCACAAGTAATTAAAATTAAGGAGAAACAATGAAATTTAACAGTGAAAAAAAAAAATGAAAATGATATGTAAGCAAGAACATCCAAACCCAAGGAAGTGGGGCGTTGTTGAGCTGAAACAGAGAAGAAGAAGAAGTGAGGATATATTTACGGGCCAACGAGGGAGTTGGGTCCGGTGTGGGGTCCGGCCAGAGCGGCGCCGGGTCCCCAGAGGGACGGGGCGGCGGAGGCGGCGGAGATAACGGCGAGCAGGAGGGTTGCAACGAAGGCCTTCATCTTGAGCGCGTCGGTTGGGTTTGGTTGTGCTGAGAGTTGAGTGTGTCGCTGCTGGATCGGATCCCGCTGGTTTGACGAACTTACCGCGCTTGCCGGCCGCTTTTATACACCCGGGCGACAAGCGCACCCACCAACCAACCCCCTGGGCGGGGAGACCGTGGCAAACGACATTCTCTTTCCAACCAAGGCGGGGAGAGCACCTTCGCCTTGCTCAGCTTGCGCTGCGTTGGCAGCTTCTCGGGACACCCCCTCTCGCTTGACCGAAAACCAACTCTTTTTTTTTTATGTTTTTTTTTTCACGCTCTTTGCCGTAATGCAACAACTGGCGGTAATACATATAGGATAAATTACCCTCCGAGGCAATGGAGCACAATTGTCCAGGGGTTCTCGGCTCTCTTGACGTGGGGCCAAAACGTGAAATCCACCGACCCGAGGGACCGCATTTTTCTACGAGTGTACGCATGCATCGCCGTCGCGACAAGCTTTCAAGCTCTCGGGCTCCATTATCAACGCATAGGTACACGCGCTGTTTTGTCACTCGGCGTGCACTTCCGCGTGCAGACAACAACAATATAGCAGCAGAACCAGCTCGGATAGGTCCGAGAAAAATCTCGGGGCGCGTTATCGGCTGGCGTGGCCAATTTCGGCGCTCGCCCACCTCGGAATGCCTTATTGCATCGTTATGTATATATAGAGCCGTGCTTTCGGCCAACTATCTACGTTTATCTCGTATACCAGGGAGGGTCGCTCGTGTCTTCATTAATCAGCCGATTATTGGATAAGCGTGGCCGGTGAAGCTGCCTGGACATTGTTTGTATACGGCAAGAGCCGTGCTTCCATCGAAATGGGATTACTATGGCGCCTGTGATGATACTTGGTTCAATGTCGAGCTTTTGTCGGGAGAATCCTTTTTTTTCATCTTCGCAAACGAGTCGCGAGTGTGTTTATCGTTGTGGGGCGTCGTTGCGTAGGTAGGGAGCTTGCAAGCTGCATGTGTCCTCGGAAAAGGATAAGGGAGTAAGGGCGCAAAAGAAATGAAAAATCTGGGCTGATGTAACATGGTGCCACAATTGGCAAAGCGGTGCTTTTACATCCGTCGAAAGAACGAGTTGTTATAATACGCGTGCCCACGCCTCGAACGCGTGAAGGAGAGAGAGAAATTGCTTACGCCATCCACTACGCTGTACGTTATACCATACGTATACGCAAATGTGCAAGTCTACATGTATATCTCTTGCTGTGTGTCCATTGTGTTGCCGAACGCACGCGACCTGCCACACTTGGCTCTCTTTCTATCGCGTCTCGCTTTCTTTCTTTCTTTCGTTTTGCTATGGTATACTTACACATACTCTTGGCCTCTCCCTGCAATGCCACGGTTCAGTGGCTCGATCGCCACTTGGGAGGGATACACTAGTTTTTCCTTGAGCACCAGTAGTCGGCTGTGTATATATATACATGAACCAGTTGCTCGGCGGAATTTCTTCGATTTGTCTGCATTTGTTACAATGGAGCTCTGTTCGCGCGCTTGTAACACCATCGGTTTATTGCGTCATTGTGCTTTTGTGGTTGGGCATTACGTTACTTGAGCCCCAGTTTTAGGCACCAGCTTCCTTCTCAGTTCCTGCACATATAATATATGGATCGGAGCTTTTTTTTTAATTTTTGCCCCTTTCTCTGATCCACTGCCGATGAAAGACAAAAACATAATAATCACATTCATTAGAGCGCCTTTTAAGTTTCAATTCTTGTTTTATTTTTTGATTTTACTTTTTTATTCGATTACATCCCTCTGTTTCTTAGGTTTGTGATTCGCAAGCGTATAGTTGTAGCGAAATTGTATAGTTACAAGTAATAGGACAAGAGCCTCGTCATCGATGGCTTAACGAGGTTTGCCTCCTTGGACCTGCTCTTCTCTCAGAGGCCATCGTTAATTTTTTTTTTCCACATCCAAAAGCTCGCATGAAAAAAATCCACGCTAGGGTTTAGAAATTGAAAACTCGTTGTTGATATGCTTCATTTTTTTTTTTTTTTTTTTTTTATGTTACATCGACAGTAAAAATAACGGAACAACAATCGATCCAGTTATTTTTATCCTTCATTCGCAGTATTCGTGCTGTAACCCAAGCATTGCTGTATTTCTCAAACATTTAATGGATGTACGTAAGACTTCTTTTATATGCTTCACGTATATTGTACAGATCTTGGGTGATAATTTGTTTGTCCTCATTAAAAATGTGTATACTTATCATTGTATGAAGTGTATATACTAAGAGAATGAGAAACTACGACGAGACAGTCAATTTTTTTTTATATCCAGTTCAAACAATTATGTAGTAGGAGTTACTTAATTTTTCTACTCCGCACGAGCGATTGTTCTCGAGCGTGAACCGAACAAGGAAGGGGAAGAAGACGAAAAAGTGGGTTCGACCGGAGAGGAAGAGGATAAACAGAAAAAAAAAAAAAATGGGGAAAAAAAAACGAGAGTGATGGATGGATTGAATGTTTGCTCGGGAAAGAAAGAAGAAGTAGTAGGTGGGGGAAGGGGAAACCGCGGAGGGGTACTGTCTGCCCTCGTTGAAACAGACAAAATCCAGGGTGGCTTTTCCTGGCCCTACTACCGTGAAAATCCATTGATAGATGTGTGCAACCGAGCGATGGAATTACGGCGCCTCCCGTCACCTCCGCATCCACAGTCAGTAACCTATACAAGAGTATATATACCTACGTGGTTCTACCATGCCGGATTATGAGATCTCCCGATATTGGAGAAAATCAAGCAACCTGTAAATAGTCTTTCGATGCTTTGTACCTCGACTCGTTTAAGCAATATCATTACATTCACAACTTGAACAAAAAACAAAAACAAAAAAAAAACAACACCTTTTTAGTGGTGAGTAGGTACCCACGTTTAAAGCTCACAGTATTTTCTCAATAATCAGCCCATCGGCTTCACTTACGGTTAGTTCAAAATTTCGAGATGAAAATAATCATGATGATCATTGTGCGGCAATTACACGATAATCGAGGGATATAATGGTCAAACGTAACAAGTGTAGGCGTCGTTGGCCTCCATAATCTCCGTCCAATGGCATAAATATATACAAGTATATAAGCAGCTAGTGAACACTGGCTCTAAAGCTCTTTGTCTTCGTTTATACACAGAGGCTTAATGGGTACCTATGCCACACAATATATAACGTATAGGCACGTGCAGACTCGACGTGATAATTTTCCAGGCGTAAAAAAGAAAGGTGGAATTTCTTTATCTAGATAAGCCGCGTATCGGCCTCGGTTTGCCCACGGACAAGCCGCGCCATTGGAAGGAATAAAAAGAATCAAAAGCGCGCGCTATCGTGAAAAAAAAAAAAAAAAAAGAAAAAAATTGAACAAATCAACTCATAACACGCGTTATCCATTCGCACATGACGCACCGCACCATTTAGATTTCATCATGCATAGAGAGAATTAAAGGTGCATTGTTATAATATTATGTTCCCTGCCCATTACCTTTACGTTTCCGCGTTAGCATGACACCTTTTGCCCTCCCTAATCTACCATTTATTATATAGATACCTGCGCAGCTTACATCGTCGACAATGTACACGATGTATCAACTGACCCGTTGGATTTCAAAAGTACTGCAATTCACACCTTGGCTGTCCACGTGACTTGATTAGCTCCCCTATACTCGTTCGTCCCGGCGTTTAAATTATAAAAGCTGCGATACGTAACGGGAGACAAAAAGCCTCATACGCTCGTAGTGCAGATATGAGATTTGCATTGACATGCAAATGAGCGAGCAGGGCAGTGGTGGTTTTTGGGAAAAAAAAAAAAAAAAAAAAAAAAAAAAAGATTACCGTAGTATAATCATAATCGTAATGAAAAAGGGACACGGTGTTTTTCGAAATGATGATAATTAAATCGATTATTTATGTCAAGCGTTGAAAGGATGCGCAAAACAATGTACTTTGTAAATATAATAACGAATATTGTGCAACCACATTATTGATTATATAAGCATATACATATATTATATACTTTTAAGAATATTACGGTATTCATCGTACATGTATATTTTTTCAATCTTATTCCAATGACGACTCTAAGTTTACTGTGCAGCGCGAACGAACATAGACGTAAGTACTAACTCTGCTGTTAGCGAATGGATTACTTATCAAAGTGGTGAAAAAAAAAGGAAAGAATGCGGCGGCGATTACCATGGTATAGCGTTGTTAAGCGTTCTGGTCACCCGAATGTTTTGAGTATAAAAACACGCCGTGTAATGGTCTGTGAATGGAAGTTATTGATTTTGTAC